ACACAAAATAAAATCTGTTAATTACACGGGGAAAGGGCATGTTTGCACATTGTGTATATAGCAAGCAGGACAGACTCGCAAAAACAATCACTGAAATATGAAAAAATAGAATAATTTACCCATGAAAGGTGGACAGAAAACGGATAAAATAGTGATCCTATTTGAGCCCTGCAAAAGCTACAAGGGACAGAAAGTGCAGTTTATCACACTCCTGGTGGGCAGAAAATGGATATAATAAATAGTGTTCCGCTTTGAGCCTCATAAAAAAGAAAAAAACAGAGGAGCAGACAGTGCAGGTATACAAAATGCATCACTCTCCCCTCTTTATGAAAAAAACTTCACAAATCTCTCTCTGAGAATCACCTCACACTGCCTCAGTCAGACAATTACTTTGCTTTTCTTTTCTTTAAACATAGTTGTCATTATGTCTCTAAAATAAGCCTATAAAAATTCTCTATCTGTTCTGGTTTGAGAGACAATGCACAGACTCGTTAAGTGGGGCTTTGCTTTATACCTGCGCTGCTGAATTTTTATTTATTCATTTAAATAACTTTTTATAATCTGTCCAAGTCAAATGCGGGAAAGTGTTTCAATTTGTGTATAGCACATAGAAGTGGAAAAAAATCTGCACAGATCTGCCCACCCTGCCTAGTCAGAGCCTCTCTATATGCAGTCAGTGTTACATGGAAAAAACATCGGACCAGAGATTAAAAAGCCATATGCAACCAGTGTGTTTAGGCCTTAAAGGAATAGTACACCCAAAACATGATTAGCCTTCATTTTCTACTCACCCCCATGCTGAACAAAACTCTGGAGTACTTTTTTGATATCTCAAATGCATCTGGAGATCTGGGAGGCTTCTTGCTGTCTGCTGACATTCAAATAATGGAGGTCTATGGCGCCCGAGACAGAAAGGTCCACAAAAGTCCACAAAAACTTGTCAATATTCCTCCATACTGCTCGTCCAATGTAATCCAAGTGTCCTGAGTGGGTAGCATCCAGAATTTACTCGAAACGAAGTCATTTAGAATGTTTTTAGAGCCTAAACAGTAGTGTATAGGATTTCCTAATAGCGCCCCCATGCGCGCTCACGATTCTACGGAAGCCGGCAGACCAAACCAGCGCATTCAGCTCGGCAAAGAACTCATGCTCTTCCTCAACACTGAAGTCCTCAGACATTTTTCTTTTGTTGTTTCTTTCTTTGCACAGGTAAACAGCACATTTCTTCTTCTACGCTTGCATTATCGGCAGACCAGACGTTGAATGCGCACTTTCTTCCGGTTTGGTCTGCCGGCTTCCGTAGAATCGTGAGCGCGCATGGGGGCGCTATTAGGAAATCCTATACACTACTGTTTATGCTCTAAAAACATTCTAAATGACTTCGTTTCGAGTAAATTCTGGATGCTACCCACTCAGGACACTTGGATTACATTGGACGAGCAGTATGGAGGAATATTGACACGTTTTTGTGGACTTTTATGGACCTTTCTGTCTCGGGCGCCATGGACCTCCATTATTTGAATGTCAGCAGACAGCAAGAAGCCTCCCAGATCTCCAGATGCATTTGAGATATCAAAAAAGTACTCCAGAGTGTTGTTCAGCATGGAGGTGAGTAGAAAATGAAGGCTAATCATGTTTTGGGTGTACTATTCCTTTAAGAATAAATGTGTCCTTAATTAACATATTTTCTTTATTTTTTAGAAATCTTTATTAAACCTGGAATTCATATATTTTTAAGTATATCGTAATAGGACATTAATAAGAACTGGACACCCAGCAATTGGAAAGAATCAGATGAATAAACTTGTCACATTTCTCATTTATTATACATTATTGTTCAGATTATATTATTTTATGCGCTATAAAAGTATATACTTATGCCTCATGAAATTTTTTTATGTTTGAGGTATACATACATTAAACTATACTTTATTATTATTATCCAAATATTGAACTGCTTTTTGTTGTCCTTAGGGTTTTTTGTTTTGTTGCTTCTAGTCAAAAGTCTACCAGGAGAGGGCGCTGTTCATGCTGCCATACGCAAAAATTATTACTTGACGTTGAACACTGACACCGCCTTTGCCCTACTTCTCAAAATAAACAAATATATATATTAAATCATTGAATGTTTATACTTCCCTGTTCAGTGCTAGAATCATGTCCTAACTGTGAGCAAATCATATAGAAATAGCAACAACTTTTCAGCTTTTTCTATTTTAACAATTCCAATGTAAAGAAAATGTTTACAGAAGATTTTAAATCAAAATATCATACTGGCATCAATACTTTTAAAAATAATGGAAAAAATAATTAGAATTTTTTTTCTGGATCACTATTAGGTATTTAACACTTCAATCAAATATAAAAATGTCTGAAATTCTATTATTTTCATGTAATAAAGTACATTTTAAAGCAGAAACATTACTCACCCATCAAATGACTTATCCTTCACCAAAGCATTATCTGTTTCCTTGCTTCTGCTGTGGATCCCCTGTTTCTTCCTCATGATTTCTGCTGCTTCTGCTCCCATTGTTTCCTCAATATCATCAGGGTCCACATCATCAAACCAAAGGTCTTCCCTGAAGCAGAAACAAAAAGATTTGTTAAGTGATTTCTACGTATCTGCAGTCTGACACGTACTGAACTGTTTCAAAAAGAGAATAAACATTTATTACCTGTCTTTGGCAAGCATTTCAACTTTTAAAGAACAGATGCAGAACTGAGCCCCTGCTATTCAAGCAACTCTAGTTCTTTCTACTTTTAGCCGTTTTCTTCCCCAATTACCACACAGCATGAAAAGTTTAACAGAATTCAGTTAGAGGAATTAAACATTTCAAACTAGGGCTGCAAATAACGATTGTTTTGTAAATCGATGAATCTGTAAAAATGTTTTGATTAGTCAATAAAAAATTGGATAGAAAAGTTTCCCTAGAGAAGATTTTTTTTACAGAATTAAACCAAGTGAAACTAAGACATTTCCACTGGTGAGTCCTGTATAGATTATGTTGAAATACTTTTTTTTTTTTTTTTATCTAAAATGCCAAATATATTTAGTTTTGGTAATTTTACTGCTTTAGGTTGGTTGCTCTTTCAGCTAAATTCATGTTTTACAGCCTCTATACTCCGGTTAACGATTAATCAATTACTAAATTAGTTGACGATTATTTTAATAATCAGTTCATCATGATCAATAAGATTGTTTCAGTCCGAATTTAATCCGACATGAGAAATTCACCTAAAAAATATCAAGAACTCAGATTTAGGATTGTAGGTTAAATGCATTACTAAATCTGATGACAAGCTTTATTTGCAGAAGCCTAATCTGACCGAAAGATGTTAGATAATTACTGTTCTATTTGAACAAAATCACCACTAAACAGTTGTTTCCAACTTTTTGACATTTTTCAAATGCTTTTTATCACCTTACAGTGTAGCAGTGGGGATCATTGCTTTTTCACAAATCCCTCCTTAGTCTCAAGATAAATCCACCTGGCAAAGACTCCATTATGACTTGATGCTTTACATCTGTGTACAACAGAATTTTGTATTTTATGTCTCCTTAGTATAGTTACCCCTTATTTTTAATTAGTAGAGTTTAGGTTAAATGCGTTATTTGAGCTCCTCTATTTCATATAATGCCTTTTTATTAGCTCCCAAAGTTAGATCCTTTTACTGATGGCTTTGTTACACCCCTGCTGTGGTGCACTATGGTGTAACTCCTGTTTATTTAATGCTTAAGGTTTTAATTGCTCCCAGAAGGGTTTGTTGCTGGAAAAAAAATATACTGATGTCATGTTTCCATAAAAATAAACGTGGGTCTCAATCCAGCATACAGGCTAAAATAGATGGGAACATGTGTGACATTATATTTATATCCCATGGAAAATAAGATTGCTATTGAAAAGTTATTTCAAAGTCTAACTGCCTAAAAAAATTTATTACTTTTCTGGCATTCTTGAGGTACTGAAAAACCCAAATCAGATCAGCATGCAGGTATCAGTATACATACTCTGTAGGTTTCCTCGCTTCAACCAAAGATGTGTCATTCTTCTTCTTTTTAGCTCCCTGCTCACTGTTTGGTTTTTCTTTGACCTTTTTCCTTTTTGGAGCAGTGGACTGCTGAGAGTCAGAGGATGCAGGGTGTTTCATCTTTGCCTCCTTTGAGGCAGCAGGAACCATGTTCAGCTTCCCTTTTCTCCCACAGTATTTCTGGCTTAGAGTAGCACTGTTCGTAGAAGTATTTTTAAAATCTTTTTCTGGATTTTTCTTTGTGATGACGCCATTGTGGTGAGTTTTCTCCGTCTGACTACTCTTGAGGATCTGTGGAGAAGTTAGAAAGATATTACAAAAAAATCCTGAAAACCCTTGTGTATTAATCTACACCAGCGACCAACCTGCTGTAATGATTTCCAGTTGGCGGAGATCTGTTGGGGCTCTTGTGGGGGGACAGGTTTTTCTTGATGCTTCTTTGGAGTCATTGTCTTGTCAGATTTCTGCTTAAGATTGTGTTTAATCCAAAACTTCTTCCGTTTATCTTTAGCGGTGGTTTTAGCGTCGGGATGCGCTGTCTTCGCCTTTGCTTTGGTCATTCTGCTTTAGAAAGTAGAGAATAACCTTGTCTGGTCATTAATATCTTCTGGGGGCAAATTTACAGTAAACGGAACCGTAAAACAAAAACAAATCCCCTAAAATTTTCTTAAACAGCCCATAAACTTGATCACCGTGGGCTTTCAGAAGCCATGCTGCATTGTATTTCTCCACTGTGCAATAGCTAAATACGTCCGCTGAAACAACACCTCTAAAATTTACAGCAGCACCCCGACTAAACTATGCCGCAAAATTGTATTATTTTTTAACTTTAACAAACTTTAACAATAACTAAGTCTCTAATAAGTTACATATTTTATTGTTGAAACGTTAGTTTTTATTTAGATAATTTCAGAGTAGGAACCTTTAACGGAATTAGATTTCGCTCCGAGCTCGTTTCTGGTACGGACTGACGTCACTGTTGTTAACTGACGTCGTTGCGGGGTAGTGTGATGGTGGAAGTCTTCGGGGTTTACTTTGTGTTTAAACCATTCCTTCCCTTTGCTTATTCTTTAAAGCATTTAATTTTTTTTTATTTACTTAAGGTGCGGACTCATTTTTTCGGCTCAGGTAATTTGGAAAAAGCTGTTTTTGGAAGTATTGTAGAAAATATGAGTGTTGTGAGTTAGCTTGTTGATAAAGAAATACCTCATATAGTTGTGTTATAGTTTCTGTCGTTGTGTTTCACCTACTCTTTCTTTTGTTTCTTTTTTTGGTTTTAGATCATGGTGGAAAACTCTCCGTCTCCTCTTCCTGAGAGAGCCATCTATGGCTTTGTTCTCTTTCTGGGCTCACAGTTTGGTTTCTGTAAGTCAGTCCCTCATTTTGAGAGCTTTAATCATTCCACTTCCTGAAAAAATGAAAATGATTGAATTCATTATATAAAATGTATAGTTTAAGCACCTTATTTTGTGCTAAGTAGTTTTAATTATATTAAATTAATTATATTCTCTGTTATAAAGTTCAAACTGATCACTGTTTTAATGACATAAATTTTGACAGCTGCTAAATGAATCATGTTCAACCTCTGAATAGAATTAGATTTCAAATTTTTATTACGTTTTTATTTTCCCTCAAGGTTTGATAGTAGCCATGGCTAGTAGCCTGTATTAAGGTACATAGTGTTTTTTGTTTTGTTTTGTTTTTTTTCACTCTAGCCTCGCATATAATGGAAATCTCATTACGATCTTCAGCCAATTGGTAGTTCTTTATATGAACTTTGTGGTTCATAATAGAAGCATCAAACAGACTAAAACCACTACATAACAAAAGGACGTTAAAATGGTCTTGGTTATGAAAAAATGCACACACAAAAAAAACTAACGAAACACTTTTTAGTTGTTCATCTTTTAAAGTTTTCTCAGTAGGTTCTTCACTGTGAAAAAGTACCTTAATCATCGTCGTCTTTTTTAATAAAAAGTATTAAGTCAATAAATAGTTCGTTTTTAAATAGCCATAGTAATGTGGATCAAATGAAATATTACAAAACATCAGAGCAAGAGAGAATTTGTTTTAGTCGCTTTCCTGTTTCATTAAATAAATGTGAAAAAAACATAACTTTTATTCATTGTTCCTACATGTTTTGATGAATCACATGATTTACACCCAGGATTTAAACTCAATTATTAGTTATGGAAATGTCCATTTTCCAAGTCCTGAAATAAACCAGAATATTTAATCGTTTATTGGTCACACTGATTAAACATTTCAGCAAATGTACTAGATTTAACCATAAGGGTATTTTTCAGCTGGAGGTGGGAAACATGGAGGTTTCTCACCAGCAATGATATTAAAATAAAATTTGGTTGTTGCAGTGATGGCTGCGATGATCTGTTTTGTTTTATTATTCTGTGCTGTTGAAGCTCTGTCTTTTGCCTTGTAATTGGCACACAAAATTTTCGAAACTACCCAAGGTAGCATTAGTACTATTTGTTGCACACGCCTAAATTATTATATCTAATTAACCAAAAAAATATGACAAATAGGGACCTTATGAGACCAAAATGCGATTGAACCTATTATTTTTGCTTTTATCTTATGACAATGAAAAGTAAATAAATTTTCTATTTATTTGAAAGACCAGGTTAATGGCATTAAAAGAGCTAGATAATTGTAGAATTAGGAGTTAATACATACATGTGACTGAGAGTGATATTTCTAACATTTTTGTCCTCTTTCTGTAGTTTTGTACTGCCTGTGGGCATATATACCAGAGGAATGGCTTCATTCAGTAGGACTCACCTACTGGCCTCAGAAGTAAGTTACATATCTTATATGATTTCACCAGCTGTCTTCATGCTGTAAATGTTATGACGTTGATCATCATGAAACGTTTGTCCTTGTTCAGATATTGGGCTCTTGCGATGCCAATCTACCTCCTGGTTGCATTAATGGTCTTTGTGGTTGTGTTGTTCGGTATCAACATGAACAACACAGCTCCACTGGACTCTGTGGACAACATCACAGGTGAGGTTTCATCCTACTGTTGCTACTGTTTATATTTTCCCCTACCTCTGGTGAAATAGAAATAGGTTTTTTCTAAAAGTGAAATGAGGCTATGAACATTTTGTTTCTGAAAAATCTTGATCTTTAATATAAAACAAATTGAGATCTCACCTGGCAAAAAATGCCTTCAAGATATTGCTAAACATTATATTTCTTTCACAGATGTGTTTGCACAGGGTCAGAGGTCAGACTGCTACCGGAAGGGAGGAATACCCAGACTGAAGGACGTTTCCATTAGTGAAGTCAACAAAATGTTCTATTTATCTTCTGATAGGTGACAAACACAGACTGTACAGAGCCATCGCTGCTTCAGAAAACTGAATTGGGTGTCATTTGGTATTGACTGTTGTTTTTATCCGCACTCCAAGGTTACAGCTGTTTTAAAATCTGTTCTTTTATAGAACAGTTTGTCCCTGAAATACAAAGTTTTGTTATTAATTTACGTTTTTGTTTTTTTTTGTTTTTTAACTATCCAGTGTAGTAAAGTATGGATGTAAGTGTTGCAGTAAATACAATTTTTCAGAGCCGTTCTAAAGAAAAAAAAATTATTAATTGAATTTTGATATGTAAACAGTGCAGCATAATAATCTCTAAGTGATCAGTTTGTGAAATGGATAGTATTAAACATAATCTGTACTAATAAAGGCATCCAGCTTGTAAGTATGAATGCATAACATATTTAGAACTCTCTACAGAAAAGTTACACTTCCATATTATTTATAAGTGAGGATGATAACAGTTGTTTGAATGCAGAAGGAAGAGGGATTATTCTTAGGTTATGGTAGCTATTATTTATTTTTGAATACTTGATTTATGTGTCACTGTGTTAAATGGTTTATCATACCCTTGTGCGCTTTACTGTCATTAAAGTTAACTGTTAATAAGATTTTTTTTTTCATCAGAAGAAAATGAGTTTGTTGAATAAAGGCGGAAATATAAAATTATATATATTTCAGGTATAAGTGAATTGGGTTTTGTATTATACAATGTTGTGGTTTATTAAGGTAATTCTGTGCAGATTCATCCAGTTATTTGAGGACTGGTATGGGTTTGTTAAAAAAACATTAAAGCTTGCTAGCTGACAGATTGCAAAATTTTATTTGAAGGTGTGATAATTTTATATTAAACATTATTAGAATTAGGAGAGACTACTGACTGATGCAGCAAATAGTCTTTGTGATCACATGTGATCTCTGTATGGTGTTACCCAGAGAAAACACTGTAGATGGTTCATTCAATTAACACCCATAGGTATGAACTAAATCAAGAGAACAAGTTTTTAAGGATGTTTTGTTTGCATATATTTGAATGGAAATGTACCAAAACATCTCATTTGCTCAATTACCAACGAGTCATATAAAAGAAGTGTAAACATGCTAGTAAAGGCTTGTTGAGTATAAAAAGGAGAAAGATGTGTTTTTTTTTTTTTTTTTTTAACTTGGCCAGAACAATAGGGGAGCTTTTATAAACCAAGCCTGTGTTTACATAGGATTGCAAACTGTCCTGCAGAAACGTTGGTTGGAACAAGAAAAAAAAAAAAAAAAACAAGAGTAATATTTAACAGTTTAATGTTTTTCAACCCACATGACACTGATTTTAGTAGATTAAATGATTGGTATCTAGGACAAAATTAATTCAGATGAGGATGTTTCTATCTCGACTAGTTAATTAAGTTTAATAATATTGTAAACTGTCTAATTCTAATGATTGGGTTTTATTATCGAAATGGATCGTGTTTTTCACTCAAAGCTAGAAGTAAATTGGTAGCAGCAACATTCCTGCCACTTCTGGATTATGGAGATGTTTTATATATGAATGCTTCAACCAAATGTCTGAAAACATTGAATACTGTTTATCATTGTGCTTTAAGGTTTATAACTGGTAGTAGACGTTTGATACATCATTGTGATTTGTATGCAAAAGCTGATTGGCCTCCTTTAAGTGTTCGGGGAAACAATCATTTGATGATCCTAATACAGGTGCTGGTCATAAAATTAGAATATCATGAAAAAGTAGATTGATTTCAGTAATTCCATTTAAAAAGTGAAACTTGTATATTATATTCATACATTACATACAAACTCATATATTTCAGATGTTTATTTTGTTTAATTTTGATGATTACAAATGACAACAAATGAAAATCTCAAATTCATCATATCAGAAAATTAGAATATTACTGAAGACCAATAAAAACAAAGGATTTATAGAAATGTTGGCCAACTGAAAAGTATGAACATGAAAAGTATGAGCATGTACAGCACTCAGTATTTAGTTGGGCCTCCTTTGGCCTGTATTACTGCAGCAATGCGGCGTGGCATGGAGTCGATCAGTCTGTGGCACTGCTCAGGTGTTATGATAGCCCAGGTTGCTCTAATAGTGGCTTTTAGCTCTTCTGAATTGTTGGGTCTGGTGTATTGCATCTTCTTCTTCACAATACCCCATAGATTTTCTATGGGGTTAAGGTCAGGAGAGTTTGCTGGCCAATTAAGAACAGGGATACCATGGTCCTTCAACCAGGTACTGGTAGCTTTGGCACTGTGTACAGGTGCCAAGTCCTGTTGGAAAATGAAATCTGCATCTCCAAAAAGTTGGTCAGCTGCAGGAAGCATGAAGTGCTCTAAAACTTCCTGGTATGTGGCTGCGTTGACCCTGGACCTCAGAAAACACAATGGACCAACACCAGCAGATGACATGGCACCCCAAACCATCACTGACTGTGGAAACTTTACACTGGACTTCAAGCAACGTGGATGAAGTGCCTCTCTTCTTTTCCTCCAGACTCTGGGACCTTGATTTCCAAAGGAAATGCAAAATTTACTTTCATCAGAGAACATGACTTTGGACCACTCACCAGCAGTCCAGTCCTGTTTCTCTTTAGCCCAGGCAAGACGCTTCTGACGCTGTCTGTGGTTCAAGAGTGGCTTGACACAAGGAATGCGACAGCAGAAACCCATGTCTTTCATACGTCTGTGTGTGGTGGTTCTTGAAGCACTCACTCCAGCTGCAGTCCACTCTTTGTGAATCTCCCCCACATTTTTGAATGGGTTTTGTTTCACAATCCTCTCCAGGGTGCGGTTATCTCTCTTGCTTGTACACTTTTTTCGACCACATCTTTTCCTTCCCTTCGCCTCTCTATTAATGTGCTTGGACACTGAGCTCTGTGAACAGCCAGCCTCTTTAGCGATGACCTTTTGTGTCTTGCCCTGCTTGTGCAAGGTGTCGATGGTCGTCTTTTGGACAACTGTCAAGTCAGCAGTCTTCCCCATGATTGTGTAGCCTATAGAACTAGACTGAAAGACCATTTAAAGGCTTTTGCAGGTGGTTTGAGTTAATTAGCTGATTAGAGTGTGGCACCAGGGGCCATCAATTTTGAACCTTTTCACAATATTCTAATTTTCTGATATGATGAATTTGAGATTTTCATTTGTTGTCATTTGTAATCATCAAAATTAAACAAAATAAACATCTGAAATATATGAGTTTGTATGTAATGTATGAATATAATATACAAGTTTCACTTTTTAAATGGAATTACTGAAATCAATCTACTTTTTCATGATATTCTAATTTTATGACCAGCACCTGTATATAAATCTCTCCTTGGACTAACACCAACATGAAGAAGTGTGTTGGCTCCTACAGCATGGAATCAGCTCCAGTCTGAGCTCAAGATGTCAGACACTATTTCATTGGACTTATTCAAACGGTTCTTAAAGATAGACAACAAGCTTCTATGAAACAGTGTCATTGCTTTTAAATTGTTTTTATTGTTTTATATTTGTGGGTATGTATTAATTGCTTTTTTTTTTTGTAACCAGGTTGCAGTGTATTGCAGATCTCTGCCCAGGTCCCCCTTGAAAATGAGATCCAGATCTCAACGGTGTTTACCTAGTTAAATAAAGGGGGAAAAAATATATTAACATTTGAGGGAAACACTGAATGACCAGTAGAGGGAGCCAAAGTGCTGTTTTTAGAGCTTCCAGACATTGGATTGTTAGAAGAAGAGTATTATTTTGGTTAGCTCCTAGCATGGTAGCCATTGTGTAGAATACATGTTTTTTTTTTTTTATAATTAATTTATTCGTTTGTCAGACCAAAGACGGATATGGCCTTCCCGGCGCCAATATGGCTGGCAGTTCAGGAGGAGCTGCTGGGAAGCATAGAGCCTGAGGAAGACTACGGATCCCGGAGCTGCTTCGACGGTTTCACCGACGAAGCTTTGTTTGAGACCTTCCACCTCTCCAGACCCTGCATCGCTTTCATCACAGAAGCCGTCCGCGTTCGCCTCAAGTCGGCCGCCTTTAAAAGGAGTCCGCTGCCCGCGGATGTAATGCTCATGGCAGCGCTGAACTACTACGCCCACGGCCTGTTCACCCCCGCCGTGCAGCAAAAGGTTCCTCCGGTCAGCCTCACCACCGCACTCAGCGCCGTCTCCGGCGTCATTGCAGGAATGTCCGATGTTTTCATCTCCTTCCCGCTGACCGTTGAAGCCAGAAGCAGGACCGCGTCCAAGATACAGGAGCTGTGCGGGATTTCCGACGTCCTGGGAGTCCTGGCCCCAGCGCACTTTAAGATCAGAGCCTCTCCCTACGACAAACCATCGTTCAAGTCTTTTATTAACGTCATGGGTTACACATCGGTGGTGAGCCAGTTCATCTGCGACTGTGAGGGCAACATCCTGAGCGTGGAAAAATGCTGCGTGGGCAGCACGTTTGAACAGGAGTTATGGGACTCCTCGTTTAAAGGGAGGGAGGTGGAGGAAGATCTTCATGGAGCATTTTGGTTTATTGGTGAGAAATTAAAGTCAGATTTATTGGAGGACAAAACCAGACCTTATTGCTATTTAACGATTAAAAGGATTTGTATTGCAAAATGTTGAGGTTAATTTATGTAAAAAAAAAAGTATTTTGACCTAATAAGTTGAAAAAAAGGAAGAAAAAAAAGTGCAATTTGGGAAAAACCCTTACAAAGAGAAAAACACATTTCTTACAACATAACCCTCAGAATATTTATACTAAAACAGGAACTTTGTTGTTTTACTTTTTGAGTTTACTTTTTAAATTAAATTCTTTTTTGCTCAGTGAAACAGCAAGAAGGTGCCGGGTTTGATTCCCGGCCTGGGGTCTTTCTGCATGGAGTTTGCATGTTTTCCCTGAGCATGCGTGGGTTCTCTCTGGGTACTCCGGCTTCCTCCCACAGTCCAAAAACTTGACTGTTAGGTTATTTGGCTTCTCTAAATTTTCCTTAGGTGTGTGTTTGTGTGAATCCTTTTCTTTTCTTTTCTCTGTGTTGCCCTGCGATGGACTGGGGACATGTCCAGGGTGGACCCCGCTTCTCGCTCATAGACAGCTGGAGATAGGCACCAGCACCCCTCAAGACTCCAACTGGAATTTAACATGACAGAAAATGGATGGATGCATTTTTTTTTTTTTCATTTTTTAATTAGCTTTTTAACTTCTTTTTTTATAGGTTCATTAAGTTTCTAACTTGATTTATTAAACTTTAGATATCATACACAGTAGATCCAATCCAATCCGCTTTAATTATATAACACATTTAACAACAGAAAAAGTTTCCAACGTGCTGTACATAACAAATAATAAACAGCAACAATAAATAAACAAAAAAGGACACAAATGACCACACAAACTACACGTTGTTAAAAGCAAAGAGTAAAAGTGGGTCTTAGATCACTGGTGTTATTCTATGAAACAGTAACACTCAGGTTTACGACAGAGCTGCACCCTGCAGACTGCATTTTGCCTCAGAGTGCTGCTTATGTACCAGAAATGGTAACTTTTGGACACAAAATTGTCAACAGCTCTACAAAAATTATAGGTTGAAATGAGTTTACTACATCCTCCAATTATATATCAGTTCATCATGGTGAGCTAATTATTATTCTGAAGAAGAAAACCCATATATTAGAAATACATTACCATTGAAAAAAAGGAGTTCAGGTATTTACTAACGCATATAGACATGTTTGATAGTATTTCCTAAATGTTCATAGAGTCCAAACTAGAGCCAAAGAAATGCTCTGCCACCACCATGCTTGTTAATTAATGACTTTTTAGTGCTGATCTCAGTTTGTTCCCTAAAAGCTGCACATTATAATAAATCTCAGTTCTCATCATTGCAGCTTTTAAAATTAATTTTGCAGTTATGTGTGCCACTAATATTTTGCAATACTTTTGCATTTATGACAGTTCCTCTTTTATTTCAGTGTATATTTAGCTTGTTCACTCCCTTGACGTTCACTACACAGTGATTATCATGTACATTAAATAATGTTTTTTTTCAATATATGTTTGAAAAAATATCATTGTGATTAAATCAACTTTTAAGAGCTTATAAGTTTAGCATTCGTGCATAAAGTAGGGCTGGATGATTAACTGATTATTCAAATTCTTTTAGCTTCATAGCTCAGGGTGACATCAGTTCATCCCCTTTTTGTCCTTAAATGTACTTATAACTGATAAACTAGCTGACTATGTAACGCCACTAACTGCAAACATTTAGTTATATTTTCATTGCTTGTTGCAAAGAATTGTATTAGAAGGCATTAGTTTAGTTGACCTTTAAATAAGGTCACCTCCAAAAGGAATAATTGAATTAAAAGCTAACTTTTAAAAAGTAATGCATGTTATTATTCATTTTATTACAAAGCTAAAGGGAGAAAAAAATGTGTGCTTGGATCTTTAAAGCACATTGCCCAGCCCTATCGGTAACAGCTGAGCACATTATATGGCTGAGATTAGAGGGCTAAATTAAATTATGGTTATGGGAAAAATAAAAAAATAAAAGCCTTGATGGTAATACGGTCATAGAAGAAGGTATTCCCACTCTTGATTTAATGACTTAAAGACACACCTTCAGCACCAATGACCGTATATGACTTGTGTATCTCTGGACTTTCATTGAGTTAGAACAAAACCTTTTTTTTTGTAGATTTATTTCCGCTCAGTGTTTGGGATTATTGTTACACTGCAAAAATGAGTAAAAATGTCTTAAACTAAGGATATTTCCCCTTAATTTGAGCAGGTAAATAAGATGATTTGCCAATGGAATTAGTATTTTTACTCTTAAAATAAGGTATCTAGATATTATACACTTGAAATAAGACAATGCAATTGTTTTTTCTTATTTTAAGTGTAAATTGGCTTGTTCTATTGGCAAAGTGTCTCACTTAAATCCTTAATTCAAGAAAAAATGCACTTATTTAAAGAAAAAATAACTTATTTAGATTTCATTTTTTTGCACTGTATGTCAATGGCCCAGTTTAAGCAACCGTGTGACTGACGAAGGAAGTCATGGTAGACCTCAACTGCAGGGTGACAAAGAACCGAGTTCAGTTTATCAGTGGTGCACCACAGTGTTTGACGTTAAGCAAGATGTTTTTCCCTTAGTTGTCTCATATTTCCGTGGGACATTGTTCTAGTGGTTTTCTGGTTCTTTTATGTACGGTATGTCATCCAAGTGTGACTTTGCATAAAGGTTGACTTTATCAATAAGTCCTTAGATGTAATAGTTCTATTACTAAATTAATTTTCTCTCTTGTCTACTGTGAAGGTGGAAAAGGCTACAAGCTAAGCAAACATGTCTTGACTCCTGTGTCGGAGCCGATGAGCGTCAGGGACGTCCGCTTCAACGAGGCCCATGCAAAGATGGACAAAGTCATGCAGAAGATGCTGTGGTCCATGAAGACGCGTTTCAGGTGTCTGCAGCAGCTTGGCTTTGCTGAGGAAACCTCTTTGAACAAGAAGTCGAACATTATAAAGGCGTGCAGCGTGCTGCACAACATCGCTAAAAAGTTCTCAGTTCCTCTTCCACCTGCCGCCGGAAAGGAAGAGCTTCCATATCCAGGCAAGCCGTATTCAGCTCCAATGGAGATCAACCATGAGGCACTAAGAGCCCGACAGGAACTGATTGACAGAAACTTCCCCAACTGTTAAGGGTGATTTTGCACCAACCATCTAAAAGAGGATGTGTAAGATTGTTATCTGCCGTGCAAGCAAGCAGAAACAGGACATATTTAATGCATTTTCTCTTATCTGGAGTTATTTTTATATGTATTTCTACTTTGTTTTTAAATGGCTGAGAAGGGTGTGTATCCTCTCCACAGGAAAAAAATACAAGGTCGTTTTTTTTTGCCTTTTGACATCACTAAAGACAATAAATCGTTTTCATGTATTTATACAACATCCACTAACTTGTAGTCTTTTTTTTTTGTAAAAAAAAATTAAATAAAAATAAAAGACTTAAATAAGTAAAATTTTATACATCAATTAGTTGTTAAAAAAAAAAGAGAAGCCCAATGAACCAACATTACAGAAAAGTCTCTACCTCTGCCAAGAAAGTTATGTTTTTTGGAGAGTTTGTGTAGAAGGTAACTTGAAATGAAAAGTTATGGACGGATTTTAATGAAACGTTTATAAGATGTCCCTCATACTAAGAAACAATCCATTGATGATGATCCAAATCATAATCTGGTTGCAGGAATTTTTAAAAGACTCTAAAATTGTGAGGTTGGGATATTTGGCGGAACAAGTAGTTCCCCACTAAACCAGACGGTGTTAGCGGTGACTATTGACAGATTCAGCATCAAGTAATTATTAGTTATTATTTTTACTGCAGACAAATATAAAGAAAAGAGAACATTGTTAGCAGGATTGATTGAAAACTTATGAATGGATCTTTTTTTTTTTTTTTTTTTTTACCTGAAGTGTGCCTCCAATAAATCATTTGAATTTTGTAATAATCCAGATCTTGTGCAAGTTTTTTCTGTAGGTTTTAAGACACAAAAAGGGGAAAAATGTCTGGCGCTTTTCTAGTTTCACTGTGAGTTGGGATATTTAGCAATCTACATAATTCTGTGACTTCCACCTTAACCAGGGTTCCTTCTCTGTGGTTGTTTTTTCACTGACAGTTGGCATAGTGTTAAACATGAATATGAGTTAAAACCTTTTTTACAGTCTAGTAGTCTACTTAAAACATAAAACATTTCAGATTTTAAAGAGACAGTGTCCCTAACAACATCCTCAGCACTCGACTTTATTCTCCCCAAGAAACGTGAAAATGTTTTGAAAATAGAAGGTTTTATTTCTTTGTACAAATTACAACTTTGTACTTTAACAACTCTATAATTCTAGCACAGTTTTAAATATTTTCTGCTCATTTGCGGGTATAATTATAATAATTATAATAATAGAATAATAACAGCTGGCAGATGAGACAAGCCATAATTTAAATTATAAAAGCATTCTTTCACAATAAAAATATTCATATTATATTGAATATTGAATATTATATTGAATATACATATTAAATATATATCAGTACCATTAATCTAACATTATTAGTTTGTCATTAAGTGCAATAAATCCTAGTGCAGGGCTGGGAGTTGATTCATCTTTTGTCAACGTAAATTTTTGAGAGCGGTGGCGTTGACATATATATGGTCGTTCTCATATACGTTTTCCTCCTGTGTCTCAGGAAGCTGCAGGCTGTCCATGATGCACTGGTGCAGGAAGACATACTGGGACTGAAAAAAGGACATTTAGAAAAGGTTTTAAACGTTTCAAATGCAATTTTTTTTGCAGATTTTTTTTTCTCACATATACACAGCAAAAAAAATAAATAAGTAATTTTTTTCTTAATTTAATTGCATTTTTCTTAAATTGAGGAGGTAAGTAAGATGCTTTACCAATGGAACAAGACAATTTATATTTAAAATAAGAAAAACTGTTGCATCGTATTGCATATTCCCTAATTATCTTATTTTAAGAAGAAAAAAAACAATTCCATTGGCAGATCATGTTATTCACCTACTCAAATTAAGGGTAAATACCCTTATAATAGAAACTTTTAGATATTTCTAAATCGTTTTTGCAGTGTACAGAATTTAAGACGTAAGGAGGATTTAAGCCAACCCTTTTTACAGAAATGTCACATTTCAGACAAAAAAAAAAAGGCTCTGAGGCTCACTTTTATTTGACCTAGTGAAAAGTTTATGCAATACTTATGCACTTCAGTTAAGCTGTAGAGTTACTCTGTTTTATTGTAAAAACTGAATACAAATAAGCATGAAGGCGTAAATACATATAGAAAACAATTTGGAACAAACAGCTAGTTGACAAGCGTTAGCTTTACCTCTGTCTGCACCATATGTGATCGATGCCGCCTCATCTTTTCAACAAAGCCTTTGATGCCAACCTTCTCTTCTCGCTGAAGCTGCTGAAGCAGAACGTCCAGGGCGATAATGGTGCCCGTCCTCCCTACGCCAGCACTGAAAGAAAGGCAAGACAACATTGCATAAATGTTATATTGAAATAGTCCCTATTGCTTTTATTGTAATCTAATCTCATTTAAGCATGAGCTCTTTCTGTATTAAACACAAAGAAAATATGATCAATAAAAGGAAAAAACATGAAAACACCTTAGAAATGCTTTTTCCATATTTCCATATTTCATCAGACATTTCTTTAAAAATAATTTGTGTCTTATTTCCTCTATACTAGGCTTCCTCTGCTGAATATTAATCGACCATAAGAGTAAAATGATGCAGACCAGTAACACTTTAATGGCTATCTCTGCTATTTATATATATCTGCAGATGTGGCCTGTTGTTTATGTAAAATTCTTCTTTTTTTACTCATTCTGTTTTGTTTATTTTCAGCCGGCAAAGCTAGTGTCAGAAAGTTACTCTTAACTGCAGTCAACTGTAGCGCTACACGTGAACTTCCATAGTATGACTAAAAATCTTGGTCCATCTTTGATTTTTTTCCAGTTCCTTTTTTTACTCAAAATAAATCTGCAAGTATTGCAGGTTTCAAGTTCATGCTATTTCTCCTTTATTTACTCTATCTTCAGCTCCCAATTTTAATGTATCAGTCATGAAAAACTAATTCAAAGTTGTCAGCATTTATATCTAGATTGGTTCACCTAAAATAATATGTTACTACAACCGATTTATGTATTTTAAAACCTTGTTTATTTTGTTGTACCTGCAGTGAACCACAGTTGGTGCTTTACTCCCTTCACTTTCTATGTGCTGTCTCATGAGTCTCCTGAAACGGATCAGCACTTCTGTGCTCGTAGGTACTCCATGGTCAGGCCAGGCAGTGAAGTGGAAGTGTTTCACTGTACGTTGCTCTGGGTCGTTACTCTGCATTAAAAGGGTTAAACACAGTTAAAATGTTAAAAATAGCACCATATCTCTTCTATAGCCAATAGAAATTCCTAATTCCCATGTAAACATTGTACAAAGCAGCACGTAAGAATGTGAGGAATAGTTCATGGTGGTTTCGGTGGGGAGGTAATAAGCAGTCGACATCTTATCTGGAGAATGAAGCAATCTAAGCAACTCCGTTTGGAGAAGTGGGAGAAAAACCCTGGAGCTGAACTGACACTATTTCATTCTCAAAAAGTGGAAAAATAATTCCATGCTTCCAAATTTATTCTGAAGACTTTTGGTCTAAAAAATACTTTCTAAGATAAAAAATTACTTAAATCCCAAAAAGTAATGCTCATTTAAGTTTAAAGGGATATTTATGGATTCTTGAAGCAGGGTTCTGTTAAAGAAGTTAGGCGTACATGGCTGATTATAGATCAGTAACTGTACTAACAACAATCCTTTGTGAAATATGCGCTGAGAAGGGAACCTTACTAATTTCTAAGCCAGTAGCTGACTCTGGTTGAATATAAATGTCTTCTAAGTAAATTGTTGCAGCCTGAAAGCCTATTTTTATTTCAGATGTTTTACATATTTTTTGCTCTATTTATTAGTGAAGTGCTTTTGTGTGTATTGCCTATAGCAAGACCACAAAACTGGGTGTAAGACAATGAGCATGCATGCAGTGATTTAACATGGAAGCAGTGCCCAACACATGTGCAACAAAAATTGAGGAAAAGTCCAAGACCTAGAGTGAAAAAGCACAAAAAAAAAATGTTGGTCACCAAAAGGTATGAGACACTGTGCAGCATGTTTTAGGTGCTCCCTACCTCCATGCAACTGAGTTAAATAAATGGCTGATTTATTTAACTAAACTATTTAATCTAGCAGCGCTGAAGCAGAGACACATCCAAAACATGCAGGACAGTGGGCTCTGAGGACCAGGGTTGAAGATCTCTGGTACCTTGTGGACGCTGAACCAGTCTGTTGTGGTAAAGAGAAAGCACCTAAAATGAGCTTTCTCAGCATGGTGGCTGGGCTCTCCCCTACAGATAGGGTGAGGAGCTTTACCTTCCAGGAGAGGCTTGGAGTATAGCCGCTTCTCTGCAGGTTTTTTTTATTTTTCTTTACATGAATATATGTTTTTTTTTTTTTTTTTTTTTTTTTTTATATCATAAGCATGACTTGGCCCCTTTAAGAGAGAAAATACCTAACAAAAAAGTAAGGCAGTGCAAAAATCCATTGTCACATTGTTTACATAAACCGCTGCAATATTTCCACCTTTATTGCTCTTTGTTTGTTCTCTTTTAATCACTGTTTAAAGATTATACAATAGCTTTCAAATTAACAGCCATATATTATATTACTCTAACAGGTCAATTAGATCTGGGCTATTGATTAACCACTGCCTTTAACCTCTTACATTGACATTAAACAAATGAACTATCCCTTTCTGAGAAAGCGGTTTTATTATTGTCAAAAAAAAATTTATTCAATAAATCATCTAAGTGAATAATCGAAACTTTATTATTTTGCAAGAGGACTTTTACATGGAATAAGACTGCTGGTGGGACATAGTATTAACACTTCATTGTAAATAGGTTTAGACTCGCAGAATGACTCTAACCGTGGTGTGAGGCTAGGAAAGTGCGAACCCGTTAACCTGCTTTATGATTTAAAAATATCTGCTAGTTAATTAACTAACTAGGCTCCTAGCATTAGTCTCTTTGAGATAATCTTCTTCTCCACACTGAGATGCATCTTCCACTGACTGCCATCACCAAACAATCCATTTCAACAAACAAAAACAATCAACTTTTTTATCATTCTATATTCCTTCATAAATTTTTCTTTCTCATACTTTGTAAGAGTTGTATTGGAAGAGTTATTTACATGTTTCAGTGTAAACTCCCTCTGGATCCAGTTGGATTCCTTTTCCTCAGACTTTTTGGAGACCGTCAGTTCTCCGTATCGACACTGCTTTCTGTCTTCAGGCCAGTATTGTTCACACTTGGTCTACAATAAGAAAGCACAAACAAATCTGACAATCACCGTGGCTGTTCTCTTCTTGCCACAAGCTCAGAGAAAAACCACATGTCATCTTTTAAGCTAAAGTTAAGTAGAGAAGTTAAAGCTTCACATTTTTTTTCTTCCATTTCAGGTTTACACTTCCTTAAAATATAATTATACAGCATAAAAAAAGACAAACTTACCCGTCCTGCTTCAATGCAATTGGTAACCATGACAATTCTCCTCACTTTTTGTTCCCAAACCATCCTCCAGAAATCATTGACTGTGGAGGGCAGAGGACCCTGTGTGGCAATGTACTCTTTGTTGCTGTTGTAACCCTGAAAAAAAATATTAGGTAGACAATTAGGGCCTTTTTTCATGGCCTACACAGTTCAGGTTTAAAATGACCATTTAGGTCATCTTGTTATTTAATCTGGAAGATCTCTATAAGAGTCACGTCACACCAAGCATTTTGAACTTCTACTTTACGGTCTAAGTCTATTATCACTTAATCAATCTTCTGCTAACATCCTGAGTAACTTTTTACAACCAACAATGCAGAACCACTAAAGATAAAGTTTTTTTTTGACGACTGTCGGTAATATGGTAATGATTCAAACAAGGAAATATGTCCAGGAAAATGTAAGCTTATAGACAGAGCAGATAATCATAGGAAAAATGAAGGGTTAAGCCACACCTGTATATGTGACTCAATACCTGGTAAAGAGGGTGTGTAAATACAATAAACAAACAAATATCATATTTGTCTGGTTGATCATTAAAGGATGAAAGAGAGGATTTTATAAGACGCTTGAACTGTTTTATGAACAAAGATGCAAAGAGGAGACGATGAGAGCAGGCAGCAGAGAGGAGGAGGGCGACTGCTATAACACTATAAAAAGAGTAAGAGGAAGTTACCAGAAAAGCTCTATAGTTTAAGCCCAGTTTATCACAGTTCAAAGTCTAACACATGGCCTTGTGAAAGAAAAAGCTAAAGCTTTAGCTTTAATTTGAACTTTTACATTGATAACTTTTTATATCATTCAAAATGTTGAATTTCACGCCAAAGCTCTGCACCTTTAAATGTTGATTATTTTATCTAACAGTTTAAATTTAAACTGGAAGATGATTGATATGTAATGGTGTGTTGGCTTAATGTAAATCAGAAACAGAGCTGAATGATATTTGTTTGAAGTGTTTATTACTTTATGACTTTGTATTTATTCTGACAACTTCCTCCTTTGCTGTTTTTTACTTTTTTATGACTGTGTGCCATGTCAATCTTGGTTTTGCAAAGTTTTTCTGAATAGTGATGGGACATGAGTGGTGTGAACTTTGAGTAAACTGTTTTGATCATCAGAAAATTATCTTCCTCTGTTTTACAGCTGATTAGAAAATCAAAAGAACAAGAAAATGGAAAATTAAAAAAGACAGTTACCAACTGATTAATGCATCAGATCGATAAAAGGGAAATTTAAAATCATCACTAGCAGAACTAGGATTCAAGCATCAGTGATCAACATCACTAAAGCTGCTTCCTTTGAGCTAACTTAGTAACAATGCATGAACAAAATTTTTTTTAACACCCATAATTTGCATTAAATAGCCTAAAATTTCTAATTGAAGGGGATCTTTGTGCATTTTGTTGAACAGATTAATTCTTCTATTTGCACACTTGATGCAATGCTTGCAACTTTGAATCCTAACCCCTGATCTTTTACAAAACTTCATTTTTAAATAAAGATCTTATATGATGGAGCAACACAAAGTAATGTATCATTCTGGTGGAAGTGAAAAGATCTGACCTCAACATTGTTACAAATAAAAATCATATTTAGCATTATGATAATTGTCATACTTACAGGTAGGTAGTTAGCATTTATGTAGTCTGAAGTAACATTTGAACCAACAAGTTTCACACGACTCCAATCATCTAGCAAGAGAATGAAAAAAAAAATATTTAGAAAATAATAAAAATTACCACAAAAGCCTCAGTTTGACTCCATTACTAATAAACCGCATAGACCAACAGGAACATGAAGGACTTACAAGGAAGGATGTTGGTGAATCTGTTCTTCGCTTTATTTTCTGGCACAGTGGCTGCATTGCGAGTTTGGTCAATGCCAACAGAAGCAAGGGACTAAGTGGAAGTGGAAAATAACATCTCATGAAATAAAGCAAGGGCTAAATGATAAAATGTAGCCTTATAAAATGATAGAAATGTCATTAAGAAATGTAAAGGGAGAAATTAATCTTTATGAAGGAATTGTTCACCTCATATTCTTGACTGAAACCTCTGTTTTCATCTAATTCCAGCTGATGGAAGTGGTCTGGGAACTGATCCAAAGGAATGGCTCTGAAACAAAATAGTAGACATGCTGTGTTTAACTCTGATGAGAGGAAAATTTTACTACAGAGATTGTATTCAGTTATTTGGAGATAAGAAACCTCAGACTCACTTTGCCTTTGAATCTGACTTTTGGGATCCAGAAAGAAAGGATTTCTTTCTTCTATCAAAATAAAAAATGGTGCTTAGTTGATTCAATCACCTCTGTTGTTGAATTTTAATTGCAAAATTCCATTGTAATTCGATGAAAGAAGATGCACCTACCGGATCAAATCTGGTCTTTTACGGACGATAAATACGATCAAACAGATCAGAACAACAAATAGCAGCACACCAACCAATGATCCTGCAATGACTCCTGAAAGGATCAATCCATTAGCTTAGCTAAATAATTCCTTCATAGAGTAAAAACTTAAAATATACTTTTTTTAAATACTAAATAAAATAATAAAATACTAAAGCTCACCTCTGTTATCAGTCGAACAGAAAAAAACTGATGGTTCAGATCGTCTGATAACATTTTCTGCCTCCAGCTGTGAAACCAAAGAGACTTCATATCTTTTGGCGGGTTGAAGTCCCTTTACAATGAGTCCAGTTTTAATAACAGTTTCATTTATTGTTAAAGTTTTTTTATTTATTGTAACTTCCACACCAGTCAGCACACCATCGAGTGGTTTCATGTTAATCTTAGCACCATAACCAGAGGCCCAGTAGCTACAGTCAGCAGTTACTGAAGGAGGAACTGAGGATGAAAGAATCATAAAGCTTATCAAAATATAAAGCACAAAAAGTTAATAAATTTATCAGAATATCTGAATATATTCAGCTGCAAATTATGCACAAGGGTCCGAAAACAAAATGCATTCATAGTACTGATAAATTAAAACATGTTCAAATTAAGAACTTTTATGTATATAAAATATGTCAAATACTTCTTTAAACTAAAAATGTGGGCCATAAAAAATGTTAATATGATAATTTGGAGTTAACCCTTTTCTGTTGTAGAAAATATGTCAAAGAAAGAGTAAGAGTTGTACTTACTGATGGGTATTTTGATGCTACACTGAGTAAGATCTGTGGATGCCAGGTTATATTTAAGAGAAATTTCATATGTTGCACCAGGATAGAGGCCAGTAAATGACACGTTTTTCCCTTCTGGACTGTCATGCGTGTTAGAATTATAGGAGGCAGTTGCTTTAGTAAACAGGCCTTCAACTGTTCCTTTGATTGATGAATTCGTAACATGCCAGGTTACACTATTACAGTTGATTTCTGAAATTTAAAGGAAAATAATATTTTAAATAGGTTTGATTTTATGCATTTAACAAAACAGTATTAACTCACATTAGACACAGGCCATGCATTTCTATTACTTTGTTTTCTTTTTTTGCATAAAATCAGTTTTTAAAAGTCTTTAGAGGTAGAGGCGGGTTTACTTACTAGTCACTGTGTCACCACGGTAAGGAGTGCTCAGGACTCCAGAGAAGATGGTGGTGATGATGAATGAATACTTTGTTCCAGGCTTCAGATTAGTGACTGAATATGATACAATATCATGAACATTTTGATTAATTTCCATATCCTTGTCATTAACAGTTAGCGTGTAATTCCATTCTTTATTTTGATTATGCCACTGTAGAGTGACCCTGTCCTCAAAGCGCTCTGTAACGTTGACTGAGGAAACCTGACTGGGAACTGAGGAAAAGAAAAAAAGACAGAAACATAATTTTTAATTACCTGCAGTGATAAAAATGAAAAGTAAGTTTAGACACTGTATTAGTAAGGAGTTCTGGTTTTATTGTGCCCTATCAATTAAAAATGATTCACAATACATAAGAATAAATAAAGTACCTAGCTTTTTTTTTTTTTTTTTTTTTACAATCCTTAAGAATAAATATTAGTATTTGTAAACCTGACCCTGTATTCTCTGTGGGGATTCCATATGACATAATATCTTACCAGTAGGTACAGTTATATCTCCCATTACCTCCTGTATGATCAAACACACTGATGAGAAGGAAACCATACAGTAGCATTCTTCCCACTCTACAGGTGTGAGAAAGTGTGTGTAACATTTTTTAATTATGTAACAGTTATTGTCCTTTTATTAAAGGAAACTGTGTACTCCTGGATGTTTTTACTCCTTTCCACTGCAGAGTTATACTGGTCTCAGTCTGTCCAGCTGACTTTAACCCTGCTGGGTTCTCAGTTTTTTTAGTGAGAACTTTTCCTTAATTTGAAACTTTTACTTCGGCTCTATCTATATGATCTAAACTGATTATTATAAACAAACAACAGTCCTCTTACCAGTGACTGCAGTGATGATTTTTCCTCTGCTTCTGGTATAACCAAACAAAGTGAAGAGAGTGAAGCTGTATCTAGTGCCACTGGTCAGATCTGGGACTGTGTATTTTCCATTTCCTTCAGAGTGAGTTATGTTAACCTCAGTTCCATTGTAGGAAAGGGTGTAACTGTTGATGTCCCTCACTTTGGTCCTTCAGCTTCCCTACTTTCACTTAAATGTTGTTTATGTTCACTAAGGTACTGCAATAATAATTAATTCCTTCTTGTCTTGTTTCTATGTTTTTTTCTATTATTTTCTTTTACATATGAACCATTTTCACTAGTCTTTTCCCTACTTTGAAAGTTATTTGTGTCATATTTCAGCTGTATCTATATTGTCTATAATTATTACAATATTAAAAGAATTAACAGAAAGAGCACCATATATAGATGCCATTGTAAAATAATTTTTGCAAGGAGGGTGTCCTTAAGTAATATAAATAGTTTTTGTAATGTTTAAAAGTAGAAAATAGGTATTAAATGATCTGAAGAAAGAATTTTGCAGAGATTTGAGAAAATATTTCAATAAATGTTTTTCACAACACATTTTTGGGTTGTCCTTTTTATATAAAAAATCGCACCTAAGTACTATTATGAACACAGAGACAACAATCATCTTACTAGTGACTGCAGTGATGTTTTTTCCTCTGCTTCTGGCATAATCAAACACAGTGTAGAGAGTGAAGCTGTATCTAGTGCCACTGGTCAGACGTGGGACTGTGTATTTTCCATTTCCTTCAGTGTTAGTTATGTTAACATCCTTTCCATTGTAGGAAAGGGTATAATCTTTGATGTCCCCCACTTTGGTCCACTGCAGAGTTATGCTGGTTTCAGTTTGGTTGATATGTTGAAATGTTTCAGTGTCAGAAGGAGCTACACAAGAATGAGAAGAAATATTAACAAAATGTTATACTGCCCTGGAAAAAATATTAGACCACCCTTCCTTCTTTTTTCATTTTATATTTTAGGTCATATTGCATTTAGAACGAAAATAAACTAAATAAATAAAAAAACAATGATGTTCTAATAGATGTTCTAATGCTACACTGCACTTCATGTCAGAAGGCCACATGCAGATTTAACTCATACAAGTTTACAAAAAAGCTTTATTTAATTATTACATACTTTTCATATAAAGAAGAAAAATCTAACCAAAGAAAACAAACATCTTAATAAAGGTTGAGTAACTGAGGTAGAGATTTAAAGTACTGAAACTAATCTCGCTAACAAGACGAGTTTAAAGAAAGAGCTCCAAATATTTATTGATATCATTGTAAAGGTGCTCGTAATGAGGGTGTCCTTAAGTGATATAAATTATTTTTGTAATGTTTACTAGTAGAAAATAGATATAAGATTATCTGAAGACAGAATTTTGCAAAGAGATTGGAAACAACATTACAATAGATATATTTCACAACACATATTTGAGTTGTTATTTTTTGAGGTTTATTATGATTTATTTTTGACAATCATCTTACCAGTGACTGCCTTGATGCTTCTTCCTGTGCTTTCAGCATAATCAAACACATTGTAGAGAGTGAAGCTGTATGTAGTGCCACTGGTCAGATGTGGGACTATGACGGTGTAAATTCCATTGTCTTCAGAGTAAGTTTCATCAACCTTTGTTTCATCGTTTTTAAGAGTATAATTGTTGATGTCCCCCACTTTGGTCCACTGCAGAGTTATGCTGGTTTCAGTTTGGTCGATATGTTTAAACTCTTTAGCATCAGAAGGAGCTACACAAGAATGAGAGGAAATATATATAAAAAAAAATGTTTTACTGCCCTTTCTTCTTTTTTTCAATGTATTTCATTTCAGTAATGTTGAAAATAAAGGAACCAACGATGGTCGAATCTTTTTTCCACCACTATACTGCACCTTGTAACATGTTAGAGGGCTATTATCACATACAAGTTAACAATAAATCTTTATTTGATTATCAAAATTAGTTCTCAATATAATGTGGAAAACATTTAAACACAGAAAACAAACATTTTAGTAACAGGCTGATTTGACGAGTGGAGATTTAATTTAACGAAACTAATCACACTTATTAAACTTTGAGACATTTTATACTGCCATGAAAAAAATATTAGACTGCCCTTGTTCCTGTTTTCATTATAAATTTTGGGTAATATTGCATTTAGAACCAGTTATATATATTAAAAAAAACAATGTTCTAATTGTGTTTTTTCTACTGCTATACTGCACTTCTAAACATGGCAGAAGGCTAGATGAAGATTTAACTTGTTTACGATAAAGCGATATTTAATTACTATGTTTTGCTTTATAATATGCAGACAAATCTAAACCAAAAAAAAAATAAACATGTTAATAAGGGTTGAGTAACTGAGGTAGTATTTAATGTAATGAAACTAATCACACTTGTTTGATTTAAGGCAAGTGAAAAGAAGTAGCCCCAAATATGTATTGATGACATTTTATTGTGGTTTTCTACGGAAGCCAATAGTGGTCATACTCAACTTTTTTTTCCTTTGCCTTCTTGAGATAATGAAATAACTATCTCGTTGTCACTGTTAAACATAAATTTTTTTGTGGAGATAACAAGTTAATTATCTTGTTATTACGAGAAAACAGTCATTGATTTTTCGAGATAACGAGATGATTAACCTGTATGAGTAATTAATGGCCAACAGCCCTGATTCCCAGTCCATCCATGCCTGCGGTGCCCGTAGTTGTACAGTGCGGTACCGCGTGTGAACAGATAATCCGTTTTTTAGTTACTTTTTCTTTTTCACTCATTGTCAGGTGAAGGTGAATGATTGGATTGGATGGAATATAGTAGAAACAATTCTGACTGTTTTTTAATGAAAATCTTTAATCTGGACGCATTTTGGGGGTTAATGCATCTTATACCTGTTACAGGCGTAACACCGGGGCTGTTCAGAAAACACCCGGTGACAGAATGCCGGTGCTAGGGTGCTGGAGGCATAGGTTTAATTGCTTATGAATCAGAAGTGGAAGCAAATCATCAAATCAGCAATGTCGTCTCATTACCCAAAAGCTAAACATAGGATTATATACAGAACTACACATAGGCTGCCATGACTTATAAATCCTCCCCTGCTGTTGTGATATTGAAGTTTTAACACACCAGTCATTTCGTTATCACAAGAAAACGGCTTTTGTTATCTTTAGATAATGAGAAAATTAACTAGTTTTATGGAGAACACCACCAAGAAAAATGAATGGAAGGAAACGAACGCTCTTGGCTTCTGTACTAAGAGCCCGGAGGCATAGGTCTAATCGGTTATGAATCAGAAGTGGAAGCTTATCATCAAACCAACAACGTTGTCTTGTTACCTAAAAGTTAAACACAGGATTATTTGCAGAATTACACATAGGCTGCCATGATTTACGCATATAAATCATCTTCCCGTTTTGTGGTATTGAAGGATCTAATCAGCTTTAACACACACCAATTATCTCGTTATGACAAGAAAACGGCTTTTGTTAATATGAGATAATGAGAAAATGTACTCGTTTTCTCGAGAAAACCACCTTGAAAAAGAATCAGAGGGACACGGCATGCTCTAGGGTTCCATAGATGCAATGAGGATGTTCTTAAGAGACATAAATAATTTCTGTATCTTTACAAGTAGAAACGAGTTATAAAATTATCTGAAGACAGAATTTTGCAAAGAGATTTGAGACAACAATACAATAGATATATTTCACAACACATATTTGAGGTGCTATTTTTTTAGGTTTATTATTATATTATTATTATTATTTCTAAATAAGCACAAAATATTTCAACTTAAGAGTCTAAATTAACTTGGCAGACTTTGTATAGACTGTGCCTATGGAGCATTATTACTGTATGAACAAACAGACAACAATAATCTTACCAGTGACTGCAGTGATGCTAATTCCTTTGCTTTCAGCATAATCAAACACATTGTAGAGAGTGAAGCTGTATGTAGTGCCACTGGTCAGATGTGGGACTATGACGGTGAAAATTCCATTGTCTTCAGAGTAACTTTCATCAACCTTTGTTCCATCGTTTTCAAGAGTATAATTCTTGATGTCCCCTACTTTGGTCCACTGCAGAGTTATGCTGGTTTCAGTTTGGTTGATATGTTTAAACTCTTTAGCATCAGAAGGAGCTACACAAGAATGAGAGGAAATATTAAAAAAAAATGTTATACTGCCCTTTCTTCTTTTTTTCAATGTATTTCATTTCAGTAATGTTGAAAATAAAGGAACCAACGATGGTCGAATCTTTTTTCCACCACTATACTGCACCTTGTAACATGTTAGAGGGCTATTATCTCATACAAGTTAACAATAAATCTTTATTTGATTATCAAAATTTGTTCTCAATATAATGTGGAAAACATCTAAACACAGAAAACAAACATTTTAGTAACAGGCTGATTTGACGAGTGGAGATTTAATTTAACGAAACTAATCACACTTATTAAACTTTGAGACATTTTATACTGCCATGAAAAAAATATTAGACTGCCCTTGTTCCTGTTTTCATTATAAATTTTGGGTAATATTGCATTTAGAACCAGTTATATATATTAAAAAAAACAATGTTCTAATTGTGTTTTTTCTACTGCTATACTGCACTTCTAAACATGGCAGAAGGCTAGATGAAGATTTAACTTGTTTACGATAAAGCGATATTTAATTACTATGTTATGCTTTATAATATGCAGACAAATCTAAACCAAAAAAAAAATAAACATGTTAATAAGGGTTGAGTAACTGAGGTAGTATTTAATGTAATGAAACTAATCACACTTGTTTGATTTAAGGCAAGTGAAAAGAAGTAGCCCCAAATATGTATTGATGACATTTTATTGTGGTTTTCTACGGAAGCCAATAGTGGTCATACTCAACTTTTTTTTCCTTTGCCTTCTTGAGATAATGAAATAACTATCTCGTTGTCACTGTTAAACCATAAATTTTTTTTGTGGAGATAACAAGTTAATTATCTTGTTATTACGAGAAAACAGTTATTGATTTTTCGAGATAACGAGATGATTAACCTGTATGAGTAATTAATGGCCAACAGCCCTGATTCCCAGTCCATCCATGCCTGCGGTGCCCGTAGTTGTACAGTGCGGTACCGCGTGTGAACAGATAATCCGTTTTTTAGTTACTTTTTCTTTTTCACTCATTGTCAGGTGAAGGTGAATGATTGGATTGGATGGAATATAGTAGAAACAATTCTGACTGTTTTTTAATGAAAATCTTTAATCTGGACGCATTTTGGGGGTTAATGCATCTTATACCTGTTACAGGCGTAACACCGGGGCTGTTCAGAAAACACCCGGTGACAGAATGCCGGTGCTAGGGTGCTGGAGGCATAGGTTTAATTGCTTATGAATCAGAAGTGGAAGCAAATCATCAAATCAGCAATGTCGTCTCATTACCCAAAAGCTAAACATAGGATTATATACAGAACTACACATAGGCTGCCATGACTTATAAATCCTCCCCTGCTGTTGTGATATTGAAGTTTTAACACACCAGTCATTTCATTATCACAAGAAAACAGCTTTCGTTATCTTTAGATAATAAGAAAATTAACTAGTTTTATGGAGAACACCACCAAGAAAAATGAATGGAAGGAAACGAACGCTCTTGGCTTCTGTACTAAGAGCCCGGAGGCATAGGTCTAATCGGTTATGAATCAGAAGTGGAAGCTTATCATCAAACCAACAACGTTGTCTTGTTACCTAAAAGTTAAACACAGGATTATTTGCAGAATTACACATAGGCTGCCATGATTTACGCTTATAAATCATCTTCCCGTTTTGTGGTATTGAAGGATCTAATCAGCTTTAACACACACCAATTATCTCGTTATGACAAGAAAACGGCTTTTGTTAATATGAGATAATGAGAAAATGTACTCGTTTTCTCGAGAAAACCACCTTGAAAAAGAATCAGAGGGACACGGCATGCTCTAGGGTTCCATAGATGCAATGAGGATGTTCTTAAGAGACATAAATAATTTCTGTATCTTTACAAGTAGAAACGAGTTATAAAATTATCTGAAGACAGATTTTGCAAAGAGATTTGAGACAACAATACAATAGATATATTTCACAACACATATTTGAGGTGCTATTTTTTTAGGTTTATTATTATATTATTATTATTATTTCTAAATAAGCACAAAATATTTCAACTTAAGAGTCTAAATTAATATGGCAGAATTTGTATAGACTGTGCCTATGGAGCATTATTACTGTATGAACAAACAGACAACAATCATCTTACCAGTGACTGCAGTGATGCTAATTCCTTTGCTTTCAGCATAATCAAACACATTGTAGAGAGTGAAGCTGTATCTAGTGCCACTGGTCAGATGTGGGACTATGACGGTGAAAATTCCATTGTCTTCAGAGAAACTTTCATCAGCCTTTGTTCCATCGTTTTTTAGAGTATAATTCTTGATGTCCCCTACTTTGGTCCACTGCAGAGTTATGCTGGTTTCAGTTTGGTTGATATGTTTAAACTCTTTAGCATCAGAAGGAGCTACACGAGAATGAGAAGAAACATTAACACAATCACATTTTGTTGTTGTAAGATTGATTATGAAAAATTAACAATAAAATTAAAATCCTTCCTTCCTTCCTTCCTTCCTTCCTTCCTTCCTTCCTTCCTTCCTTCCTTCCTTCCTTCCTTCCTTCCTTCCTTACTTACTTACTTACTTACTTACTTACTTACTTACTTACTTACTTACTTACTTAACAATGTAAATATCAAGAAAAAAAGGTGTAAACAGAAACATTTTCCAACTGAAAGAATAAGTGATATAATTAAACAGTCCTTCAATATCAGCTAACATCAGACAACAGATATATTATATATTACTACATGTCATTCAATTGTTGAATTGACTTTTACTGGTAGAAATAATTTTAAAAATAAAGGATTAAATGTTTGCCTCTGGTTCTGATATTTCTTATCAAATTAAAAGAGTCTTTCATGTCACTTAAACATTTCATTTATTGCATTTCATCATTTAAATAAAATCTCCTACTACTATAAAAATAGCTTTCTCAATTTAAGTGATTTGAATTATGTCAGAACCCCACAGTGTTTCGTGTGAAAATATTAATATAAACTTATTTTAAAAATGTAATCAAAACTCTCAATCTCTATAAATCAGGTTGCAAAGAAAATCTTCTGAACATTCTTAGATCCTTACAATCTGTCTTGATACATATGAGCACCAAAAGATCACCTACCTGTCACAGCAGTGAATGAATATCCAGAGCTGCTGATTCCATGTAACACGGTATAAAGAATAAAACTGTATCTTGTTCCAGCAGTCAGACCAGAGACCACATAGTTTACTATATCATCAGCAGTGCCAGTTACATCTATAGCATCACCACCATTCATCTTCAGTCTGTATGTCAGGATGTTATCCACTTTGTCCCACTCTAAAGTTATACTGCTTTCATTCTGTCTCACCATATTTACTTGTCTTACATCTGCAGGGTTGGCTGTTAAAAAAGCAGATAATGTCATATAAGAGAAAGCATTTTAATTATTGAGCTATTATTGTTTTTTCAAAAAAGGAAAGATAAATCTGCAGTTCATACTAACCAGGTTTTATTGTTGTTGTTACCCTAGGAGTAGTTTCCACCCTTATTGTCAGTTCTGTCTTATTTGTTGTATCTAGTTCTGACATGTTATTACAGTCTGCTACAATCTGAAACAGGATTAAAACTTCATCATTACACAAACTGTTACTTTTTATGATTAAAAAAACAACACTAAAGAAATTTGTTTATAAAATATTTACTGTTAACTTGCAGATTGTTGGGTCCATATTTAATATCAATGTAATTTCTGCTCTACCTTAGCATTTGTTATGTGACATAGGATAATGTATGTGCAACAGTCCTTAGACATTTTAAGCCCTTAAACATTAAAAAAATACAGAAATCATGAGAGGATGTCAAATTTAAACTTTAATTACGAGATTATTTCGTAATGACTCATATTAACAAATATAAATAACAATCAATAGAAAAATGTGAGCTAGAACTCCTCTGTTAAAAGCAATAAGGAAAGAAAACAAACCTTTTGATGTTATTTCTTAACGTATGTCTTTATTTCTCTTTAAAGCAAGTAGTTATAAATGACATCACCCGTTTGAGATTGATTCATATCTCACAAACTGAGAAAATCCTTTATTTCTAAGTTATAAAATGTTTTTTCTTGGTGCTGCTTTCTGTCTGTACTGACTTTTTAAACAGCTTCTCTTTGGACATCAGTTCAGCGATGACTATCATGAGCTCGGCCTTAAATGTGGTTTTCCTTTGTTGAGGTTTTGCTTTCTGAGCAAAGCTTTACTATCCGACCATAGTTTACGTTGAAATGAAAAAGTACTTACCCAAAGCAGGCTGAATGAGACACACAGCAACAGGAGGTCCAATTTGAATTTGAATGATAAAAGCTTCATCTTTGTTATTGATTCTTAACCTACATACATGCTATCAACACAAAGACACCTTTCTGCTCTCAGATAAACCTCGGCTGTCTGCTTCCAATATGGCCCACCTCATTTGTTGACAAAAATAATAAATATCCTAAGCTTAAGGCTGAATCAGTCCGGCAAAAAAAATCCAGTGTTGTTTACTTTTAATTCCTAACCATGTCCTCCTTCTGTAACCTCTGGCCCCTTCGCTTACTCACAAGTGACAAAGTAAGTAACTACTTCTCCTTTTTGAACCTGTATGAAGACAGAGACCTTTGCCCCGCCTGTTACTTCCTTATTAACGGTCATTGTGCAGCTTGTCAAAGGTGCTCTGATCAAGGCACTGTCCCTGTTTTCAATATTTATTAGTGCTGATTGCTTTATATCCTCTTTAACTACCCAGTTCCAGCTTGTGACTAGCTGAGCACTTTTATCTGGTGTAATTAAGGAAAACAGGCTTTTCCTGGATTTTACAAATGTGGATTTTTACTGTACATTTGTCACATATATATTTTCTTTTTCATTTTTTTAGCTGATTTTACCAAAGATTTTGACTGCTGTTTTATATCTGGTCACAGTTTTGGCACGTTGTGATTTTTATGACATCCTTGCGGTAAGGAGCTATAAGGAACTTCAAATGAAAATATGAGTGAGGAGCAAAAGTCAAACCACGCGTTGTTGTACTGTGCTATCAGCTGGGCTTTATAAAAGGTTTGACAAGTAAAACATGGTTGTTCAAAGGGGAAACTTATGTAAGGAATTCCATTCCTACAAGTTAATTGTACTAGTTCATTAATAGGTTCAGTACTCATGTTAAATTACAGCATTAAATGACAGGGAAGATGCTACATGCATAACAATAATGTCATGAAAGGTTTTTGTTGGTTGTTTTGCTCTACTGGTTCCAGTTTCTCAGACTCTCCACCAGAGGGCATCCTGGAGGCTTGTTGCTGGGCTGGATCCTCCTGCTGCCCCGCCTCTGGTGCAGCACATTAGATCATTTACCTTCCCAAGCAGTTTAAGAAGAGCAGGATGCCAGTCATTTTTTCCCCTGAGTGTTTCCTGTCACTGATAAATTCCAAGCCACTTATTGCCTTACTTATTTCCATTGAGTTTTCCCTTTAGGGATTGTGTAGAGATTTTTCAGAGTAGATTCTCTAAGCATTTGAACTAGGGCTGCAACTATGATTATTTTGCAAATCAGTTAATCTGTGGATTATTTATTCCATTAATAATCGGATAGCCAAAGTTTGCTTAATGAAGATTTTTTACAAAATTAAACCAGGTTGAAACTAAAACTTTTTCATCTGAGGAGTTCTGAATAGAGCACACATTACATGACAGACAACGTTTTTTTTTTTTAATCTTAAATGCAAAATGTTTATGTATATATTTTGTTTTTACAATTTTTGGTATCATTACAGTTCTAAGTTGATCACTGTCAGCTAAAGACACATTTTAGAGTCTCTATACTCCAGTTAACAATTAATTACTGAATTATTTGACGAATATTTCAATAATTGATTATTCAGGATTAATCAAATTGTTTCACCCCTAGTCACAATTATCAACATAACAACAGAGGTTTTAGTTTGTTGGTCAATTTCCTCAAACAGAATTATTAATTACAAAGATGGTGAGAATGATCAGAGCCAGATAATTTGATACACATTATAAAGTATTGCCACAAGTGCAAGTATCATTAGAAAACTCCAAGAATGCAATTTGTGTAAAATTAATAAACCACCTACTAGGAAGAAATAGGTGAATATTACTAAGCTGGATATTCTGGAAAAGTGGATACTAACTTAAAGTAGAAAAGAAACAGAATGTCTTTAGCACCAATCCACCCCGTGACACCAACACATAAACACAATACATCTCTCTATCTTTGCGAGGGCCTTTCCCTCAACTTCCATTCATTTCTATGGCCTACCTCTGACCCTTACCCTGCACTTAACCTTTACAGGTTCATACCTAATCCTGACGACCTCTGACCCTAAAACAGCAATTCCTCTCGTGTGGTCTAGGCATAGGGCTGCTCAGTGGCGTGGAGTTTGCATGTTCTCCCTGAGCATGCGTGGGTACTCTGGCTTCCTCCCACAGTCCAAAAACATGACTGTTAGGTTAATTGGCTTCTCTAAATTTGTCTCTGTGTTGCCCTGGCAACCTGTCCAGGGTGTACCCCGCCTCTCGCCCGTAGACAGCTGGAGATAGGCACCAGCACCCCTAGTGACCCTCCTTGGGATTAAGCGTGTCAGAAAATGGATAGATTGTCTATGCAATGGAGCCTAACAGGAGTAGTTGGTCCCCATAACGTACAATTTTTCGAGAAAGCTGTCCCAAACAGTGTAACAAATACAAGAAAATACACACGTGTTTCACTATCCTTCTGGGGACTTTCCATTGAATTCCATTCATTTTACATTTCTTGAACATAACCAGCACATATCTAAACCTAAAACTTTTCTCCAAAATTCCCAGGGGGTAACAAAAAGATGGGCCACATGCAGAATTTTTTTTTAAACTATGAGATAGTAGCAGACAAGATAGCAAGTAATTTCAAGGTTATCCTAATCTATCTGGATGCAAACATTGAGGCTTTGTGTAATCCCAGATAGTTTGAAAATACTTTAAGAGGTTCCACAAATGAATCAATCATTGAATATGAAATTAGGGAAAATAAGCAGGTCTGAAACACAACATCAGGAATGATTGTTTTAAACTTAGGGTTATCTAAAGTTGACAAACAACAGAGAGTAGCACAATTTTAATGTTTGGCCTACTTGTAAGTGGAACTTTAAAAGAAGTACTATGGCTTTCCTAAGTTTATTTGATCCTTTTTTTTAACCCGTGAATTAATATAATAATTTTCAGTCTTGAAACAGTGTTGTGTAAATTTTTAACTTTTATTTTTCTATATTGTTGAATGCGGAACTTCAACATTAACATGGATAACAAACTTAGACTTAAACAGATTTATTTCGTCATTTTGTATATACAAGTGTTAACAAAAATAAATTTAATTCAGAACAGCTCTATATACAGTCTCATTCTTCAAAGTGCAGCCTCGACAAGGCAAGCAGCAGTGATAAAAAAAATTGAACTTGACATTAAGTCACTATATCTAGTTATGGAATGTGCATCATTCATGTTTGTTTCGCAGCAGTAATGTCAGACGGATCTGGATAGGATCTTAACTCCAAATGGGATTTTTATCCTGGTGGAAGAGGATCTGATGCTGCAGCATCAGAGGCCTGAAGATAGATCTGTCAATTTGAATTACAATTAAAAACCAAATTCAAATTGAAACATATTTGACATTTCCAGAGAGAAGCTACCCCTACAACCGTAAACAATATATATATATATATATATATATATATATATATATATATATATATATATATATATATACCATTACCCCTCTTTCTGTCTCAGACAGTATATTGCACAAAACTTCAACTTACAAAACATTTGCATTATATTTTAGTCTCTACACAAGTTAAAGTTTATATTTCAAACTTGTTTGACTTTGTTGAGGACAGTAAATAACCACAGGCATTGCTCTTTTATATCAGACAAAAGTTTTAATTCCAGTAAAAGGCAATGGGTTTTTGTGTTATTTTAGCCTTGGATATGCTGACATTTATTCCTGCTTTTTGTTAATTTCTATGTACAGTTGGGTAATTAAGAGAGTGAAATCATTTTACTCTGAAATGAGAATGCATAATTAATTTTGAGTCAATGGCTCCTTATTTTATTACATTTACATTTTATTATGCCCTTTGCCTCACTGAGTTTTGCTTTAAAGGAAAAGTGTGGTCAGTAATGAATGATCAATGGATCATTATCTATAGCTAAAACTAACACGTTTGCAGTGATTTTAATAAATTAAGCATTAATCAGTACAAAATTTAAATAAAAACAACAATTTTCACTGAGTCTGGGACTATTTGGACTGCCCAAATATAGTTATACCTCACTCCTGACATCTTCCAGCAGTGACGTCTAGTGCGGTAAGCCTAGCGCCAGTCTCCCCACTTCACAAGCAAAATCAATGGGAGCTACTAAACATGTCTGCAATCAACAACAATTACTTAATATTTTGAGAGGACTTCACCTTTTAAATTTGTGAGAGCTATAGTTAGTTAAACTGACAATGCCCAAGTGGAAGGCAGTTGGATGTTTTAAAACATCGGGAAAAAGTGAAAAAGAATTAGTTATTTCACCTTTACACGGATGTCTCCGGTAAAGCACATTCAAATTAAATTACTCTCAATTAAAAACACTTATCATTTATTGAACAATATGTAATACTTTCATTTATAAAGTACTTTCAGATGTTTGAATTCTGAATATGACCGGACTTTTGTTTTAATGGCTGTGGTATAAATATGGGGATATTAAATTCATATATTTAGTTTAAAATTAAAATTGATTTAATAAAATTCAAGTATTTTTCTGCATATCTGAAGTACTTTTCCTTTATGTGCTCTATAGAGTAAAGAACTAATAAAAAAACAAGAGAATATAAAGTCAAATCTAAGAAAAAAGGCCTTTTTGTGCTGCATAGGTAGCCTACAAGGACAAACTGGGTAAACAAATGTAAAGTTTGGTATATTACTATCCCATATTGATGCAAGAAAAAGTTGACTATGAACTGGATTTATTGCAGGACTGAAATTATTTTTGTGTTAAGGAAGCTCTTGAAGTGGGATGGTGTTTTGGTATATCAAGTCGTCATCGTTTTCATAAATGTGTTCTTCTTGGGTCACATGTGGTTGAAGGCTGTCCAGGATGCACTGGTGCAGGAAAACATACTGGGACTGTGAAGATATTTAAAAAGAATCCATATTTAAAACGGAATGTGCTAATTTAGTCACTGATTGAAAGTTGCTCATAAGTAGAAGAGCTATTTACAAAACTTATTAGGGCAGGACAATTAACATTTCCAATATAATCACAACTTACATATGTGTAATTTCCAAATCACAGAAGCACCAGACTTTTTATGGAGTGAACGTTTTGGCATAAAAATCACTCCATAATAAGTGGGGAAGAGAAAATTGTAGCTAGCTTAGGTCCATGCATGCAAGCAGGTAGTCTTATTACAGTCAACTCTGAACAAGACAGCATTCAAAGCTATGAAAACAAGGCGAGGGAGGCTCATTTACACAGCACATTTCATTGCTGTGCATGAGAAAAAAAAGAAAAGAAATGTTAATTGCAATGTTAATTGGACACTAATGAATTAAAGTGACAAAAAACTAAAAGCAGATTATATACAAAACAAGATAAAATTATTGATTAATAAATGAAAATCAGAATTTTGGTTGAAAGAAATCTCAATACTGTTTTCTGGTTAAATTTCAGCCCCTAACAGTTGAAAAGTCTGTTTTCCTGGCAAAACAATTGGCATGCTTCAGCATAAAAACCGGCTCACCTCTGTCTGCACCATGTGTGGTCGATGTTCTCTCATTTTGTGTAAAAAGGCCTTGATGTTGACTGCTTGTTCTCTCACCACCTGCTGAAGCAGTACGTCCAGGGCGATGAAAGTACCCGTCCTTCCTACTCCGTCACTGCAAAGACAGAATGCAGCTTTTGTTTGCATCTACAAAATGACAATAAAGTGTGTCCAAGTCTAAATTATATTGCCTTCACTGATTCTTTTATGCTTTTTGTGGGATTCAGGACAAGGTAACGCCACAAATCTGGAGGTATGAGTTGGATAATGAGATAAATATTTATCTTTTGCCTTAAAAATAAAACTAAATGAACTGTTACTGAGTGAAAACGGTTATGAACATTTGCTCACTTTTAAAATGTACCTATTAAAAAACATTTTGTAAGTTTTTAAGGAAAAAATATCTTTAAAATAGACTTTTTTTTTTTACATTTATGAATAAACATTGTTTGATGAGCAGCTTCAGTAGATCAGCATAGATGCATCAATAAGCCTGTATCATGTTTCCTTGCATTTACTTCAATTTGGAAGTTCCTGCACTGTTCTGGTGATGTTTTTAAGCGCTTCCATGTTAAATGGATAAAATTTAGCAAACAATGGAAGCATTATATTTAAGATGTATTTTGTGGATACTCAGAAGTGAACAGTATCCATCCTCAAGTCAGATACCAATAACAACTTTGTGTAAGGAAAAAAAAAAAAAGTAAAAAGGAAACCTTGTCAACTTTAAGCAGGAGCTATGAGAATTAGCAAAAGAGTGCTGCAGTTTTGTGTTTTGGCCAAAGGTGGCAGTAATATTAGAAAACCACAGTAATGGAGAGTAAAGCATAGCATTTTAAAATAATCTGAGATTTAATGCTAATGGAATTGTTACATTTCTGTGTAAAAGTTTTTCCAACTCCTTTTTGTCTTTTAAATGATGTTATTATCAGTTTTAGATAATCACTTTAACCATGAGTAGCAGAATCTGATAATATCAGACATATAGAACATATATTAGAACAGCCCCTATGATGGATGTAAACTTCTCTCCAAGATACTCATTCCTTTTTGTGTACCTGCAGTGAACCACAGTTGGTCCCTCAGACCTGTCTTTCTCTATGTGCCATCTAATGATTCCTCTGAACCGGATCAGGGCCTCTGTGCTTTGTGGAACTCCACGATCAGGCCAGACAGTGAAGTGGAAATGCTTGACTGTTGTTTCCACTGAGCTGCTCCTCTATATAAAAAAAGAAAAACATTTTGTAAAACATCTAGCTTCACAGAAACACTGAAGCAGTAAAAATATAAAATAATAGGTTAAACAAATATTTAAGAGTAACTATAAAGCATCTCCAAACAATAATAACTGTATTAATATTAATTTAGTGGTTGCAAAATTTTCTGCCACAACATCCCGGAGAAGTTCACGGTCATATGAGGAAGGCGGCAACACTAAAGGTAGCCTTTTAGAAAACAGCTTAATTGCTTACGAATGCCTTTTGCCTGGTTGCCTTATCAGGGCCACAACAATTCATTAAATCATATGTGTTTTAAAAATGTTTGAGTGTTATGTATGAGGTCATTTCAGCCCCGATCCCAAATACAGTTAATGAGAAAGTATTCGGCCCCCTTGAACTTTTCAACCTTTTGCCACATTTTAGACTTCAAACATAAAGATATAAAATTTACACCTTTGTGAAGAATCCACAACACGTAGGATAAATTAATGAAGTGGAACAAAACCCATTGGATGTTTTAAACTGTTTTAACTAATAAAAAAACAGAAGGGTGGGGTGTGCAAATTTAATCAGCCCCTTTAAGTTCAGGGTAGCAAAATCTCTCCAGAAGTTTGGTGAGGATCTCTGAATGATCCAATGTTGTCCTAAATGACTGATGTTGATAAATAAAATCCACCTAATCAAGTCTCCATACAAATGCACCTGCTCTGTGATCGTCTCAGAGGTCTGTTTAAAGCACAGATAACATCATGAAGAACAAGGAACACACCAGGCAGGTCCCAGATACTGTTGTGGAGATTTTAAAGCCAGATTTGGATACAAAAAGATTTCCCAAGTTCACCACTGTGAATCTATGAAGGCCCGGCCGTCCATCTACACTTTCAGCTTAAACAAGAAGATCAAAGATGCAGCCATAGTCCAATGAAACCTGTGGATGGACTGCAGAGATCTACAGCTGAGGTGGGAGACTCTGTACATAGCACAACAATCAGTTGTATACTGCACAAATATGACCTTTATGGAAGAAAGCCATTTCTTAAAGATATCCATAAAAAGTCTAGTTTAACATTTGCAACAAGCCACCTAAGAGACAGCAAAAATGTTAAAGATGGTGCCCTGGCCAGATGAAATAAAAATCAAAGTTTTTGCCGACAATAAAAAACATAATGTTTGCACACAGCTCATCATCCTGAACACACTATCTCTACTGTGAAACATGGTGGCAGCATTATGGTTTGGGCCTGCCTTTCTTCAACAGGGACAGGGAAGATAGTTAAAACTGATGAAAAGATGGATGGAGAAAAACACAGGACCATTCTCGAAGAAAACATGTTGGAGTCTGCAAAAAAACCTGAGACTGGGAGGGAGATTTATCATCCAACAAGACAATGAACCAAAACATAAAGCAAGATCTACAATGAAATGGTTCGCAAATAAACATATTCAGGTGTTAAAATGGCCAAGCCAACATCCAGATCTAAATCCAAACGAGATTCTTCAAAAAGAACTCAAAACTGCTGAAAACATTCTCCATCCCACTGCACTAAGCTCAAGCTGATTTGCAGGAAGAATGGGCAAAAATTTTAGTCTCTCGATGTGCAAAGCTGATAGACATACTCCAAACAGCTTGCAGCTTTGTTCTTCAAAGTACAAAGTACTAGGTTGGTTTGCCTTGGCCTCATAAATGGGCTTCATAACTTTAATACCTGTAAAGAAAAAAGGTGAGCTAAAATTATTGTCATTAAAATATATAAACATGTCTAGTTAAAACATTCCTCTTATTGGAAGTTTGAAGGACACATATTGTTTCTCCTATAGCCTGCTGTTGCTCATAAACTAGTTAGACGGCAGCATCCCCTTAAATGCTGATTGGCTAGTTGTGTATGGACAGATGTATGATTGTTTTATTTTTGAAATATAGGAGATGTTATGTACATGCTTCAGTCTGAACTCCCTTTGAGTCCACTTAGGTTGCTTCAGCTCAGACACTCCAGTGACAAACACGTCCCCATAATGAAGCGACTTGGTCCGTTCAGGCCAGTATCGCTCACATTTGGTCTGTGAAAAAAAACAAAAAAACAACACAAAGCATCTGGTTTTATCCATGTTGTGCTTCAACAGATGGGTAACTAACTGCTAAGTTATTTTCTAAAAGATATGCATTACTTTATTGTTCCTTCTGATGACAATTTAAAAATACAGGTTTGTTAATACTTTTTAAAAAATCTGGCAATGAAATAACTTTCATTTTTAAAAACCTACCCGTCCTCCTTCAATGCAGTTGGTAACCATGACGATACACTTCACTCTTTGTTCCCAAACCATCCTCCAGAATTCCCTGACTGTGGAAGGCAGGGGACCCTGAGTGGCAATGTACTCTCTGTTGCTGCTGTAGCCCTAAAGAAAAAGGCTCCATATTTAGTCAGGTTATATGATGTTCAGGAACAAGATAAATACCTTTTTCGCACTTCATGTTGCAGGTGTTTAACTCGATATAAATTTAAGAGGAATTTCAACCTGGAGAGACTCACAAGGCGGCAATTAGAGAGTTTAGTTAGGAGGTAATTAGAGAAGATACAGAGCTGAGTGTCGCTGACATTGATAAAATGGGCAGATTTATGAGAATAGAGATGTCTTCCCCCCCCCCCAGGGCCTGGACACTGGTGGTGGTCTGGAGATGAAGGGGGAAGGGAGCTCATTGAAGAAGGAGGTAGATAAAGCAAGACCAAGAAATTGAAGCTACAGAGACTATGTTGATTTTGTGAAAAAACAGCTTCCTTCTCTTGCTCCAGTAACATCTGTTCAACTTATTTAAATACAGACAAAGCTTTCTTCTCAATATGCTAATATCTAAATTCTAGTAATTTTTGTTGGTTTGAAGGGATAGAAAAATAAGAGGAAAAACATCTAAACAACAAATGGAGGGACTTTCCATATTAAAAAAAAAAGGTAGCCAGATTTTTGCAATCCTCTAGTAAAGACCCAAATGTGAAGCTTTCTTTCATTGCTATTTCAGTGGACATCTGTCTTATTTCATAAAAAATGTATTTATTCAAAGGAATTTTTGCCTAAATAATACATTTGTTCCCAAGAAATTAGGTTTAGTATGAGCAAAATAAAACAAAAAAAAAAGGAACTACATATAATATCTAGACATAAAGAGAGAAACTCAACCAAAATCCTGAATCTGAACCTAAGAAACATGAACTATTATAAGGTAAATTTTCTGTGTATTTATTGTGCGTATTATTTATAAGTATGTGTTAGACTTAATTAAATAGAGTGAGAATTGAAATATGTTTAAACAATGAACATCTCTTGGCTACTTTAAGTCCTGGAGAAAAACAGCTCCTGCTCTGTGCAGGTGGACACTTACTGGTATGTAACTGGCATTGATATAGTCTGAGGTCTCATTGGGAGTTGATGTGTTTAGCTTCACCCGACACCAGTCATCTATTGAAAATAGAGAGAAGCTTTCAATGCAGATAGAAAGGTAAAAATGTCCTAAAAACACCAGTAGCTCATGTTTTCAGTAAAACGTGGGTCAAGAATAAGATTGCACTTACAGGGCAAGATGTTAAAACTGTTCTTCTCTTTGTTCTCTGGTAGAACAGCTGCCTTACATGTCTGCTTTGTGCCAACAGACGCAAGGCCCTGAATGAATGGGAAATATGACACACAATATAAGAATCTATAACTCAATTATCTGCATTGTTCGATTATAACCTACATAAAGATATGTACAAGAAGAAAAGATTTAAGTTAGTTATTTTTGTGCACCTCATATTCCTGACTGAAACCTCTGTTTTCATCCAATCCAAGATGATAGAAGTGTTTTGGGAATTCCACTACAGAAATTATTCTGGACAAAAACAGAAAAAATACAGTATTCAGAACTGATAAATACTTCACGACAGAGATGTACATTATTTTAGTCTTTCATTTACATTAACTGACAGTTTATTTGGAGATAAAAAACTTCAGACTCACTTTGACTCTGACCTTTGGGATTTAGAAAGAAAGGATTTCTTTCTTCTATTAAAATAAAAAATGGTGCTTAGTTGATTCAATCACCACTGCTGTTGAATTTTAATAGCAAAATTCCATTGTAATTCGATGAAAGAGGAATCACCTACCGGATAAAATCTGGTCTTTTACGGACGATAAATACGATCAAACAGATCAGAACAACAAATAGCAGCACACCAACCAATGATCCTGCAATGACTCCTGAAAGGATCAATCCATTAGCTTAGCTAAATAATTCCTTCATAGAGTAAAAACTTAAAATATACTTTTTTAAAATACTAAATAAAATAATAAAATACTAGAATACTTAAGCTCACCTCTGTTATCAGTCGAACAGAAAAAAACTGATGGTTCAGATTGTCTGATCAAATTTTCTGCTTTCAGGAGTGAAACCAAAGAGACTTCATATCTTTTGGCGGGTTGAAGTCCCTTTACAATGAGTCCAGTTTTAATATCTGTTTCCTTTATTATTAAAGTTTTTTTATCTATTATAACTTCAACAGCCGTCAGCACACCATCGAGTCGTTTCATGTTAATCTTAGCACCATAACCAGAGGCCCAGTAGCTACAGTCAGCAGTTACTGAAGGAGGAACTGAGGATGAAAGAATCATAAAGCTTATCAAAATATAAAGTACAAAAAGTTATTAATAAAATTATTAGAACAACTGAATATATTCAGCTGCATGTTATGCACAAGGGTCTGAAAATTGCATTGATAGCTCTGCTAAATTAAAACGCTTTCAAATTAAGAACCTTTATGTATACAAAATATGAAAAATACTTCTTTAAACAAAATATGTGGGCAATGAAAAAATTATAACATAATTTGGAGTCTACCTCTTTCCACCAATGTAGGGAAATATACCAAGACTGACTTCTCACAAGGTTATGTAGCTTCTGTTGTAGAAAATATGTCATAGAAAGAGTTTTACTTACTGATTGGTATTTTGATGCTACACTGAGGAAGAATTGTGGAGGCCAGGTTATACTCAAGATAAATCTCATATGTTGCACCAGGATAGAGACCAGTAAATGACACGTCTTTCCCTTCTGTACTGTTATGCTTTTCAGATTCATAGGAGGCAGTTGCTTTAGTAAACAGGCCTTCAACTGTTCCTTTTATTGATGAATTCGTAACATGCCAGGTTACACTATTACAGTTGATTTCTGAAATTTAAAGGAAAATAAAAATGTTTTAAAGAGGTTTGAATTTATGCATTTAACAAAACAGTAATAACACACATTTGAAACAGGCCATGCATTTCTATTATTCTAATTCTTTTTTTGTATAACATCAGTTTTTAAAAGTCTATTAAGGTACAGACCGGTTTACTTACTTGTCACTGTGTCAACATGATAAGGAGTGCTCTGGAGTCCAGAGAAGATGGTGGTGATGCTGAATGAATACATTGTTCCAGGCTTCAGATTAGTGACTGAATATGATACAATATTTTGATCATTTGGAATAATTTCGGTATCAATGTCATTAACTTTTAGCTGGTATTCCCATTCTGTATTTTGATTATCCCACTGTAGAGTGACCCTGTCCTCAAAGCGCTCTGTAACACTGACTGAGGAAACCTGTCTGGGAACTGAGGAAAAGAAAAAAAGACAGAAACATAATTTTTAATCACCTGCAGTGATAAAAATGAAAGGTAAGTTTAGACACTGTATTAGTAAGGAGTTCTGGTTTTCTTGTGCCCTATTAATTAAAAATAATTCTCAATACATAAGAATAAATAAATTATCTAGCATTTTTTTTTTTTTTTACAATCCTTAAGAATAAATGTTAGTATTTGTAAACCTGACGCTGTATTTGTCATGATGTGAGAAGAACGACTCTGAATCAGGGCAACCACGGAGACAGTTAGATCAGTTTAAGAAAATGTTTATTGAAACAGGGAACAGAAAATGGAGTCTGGCAGGATCTTCCTGGTACAGCCTAGGGAAAAGATGGGTGATGGTGAACAACTGGTCTGAGGTGGAGGGAAGGCGGAGGATGCTGAACTCACGGGGCTTGAGGTTGTCTTGAGCTAGGAAGGATGTGTCCAGGGTCCAGGGGCAACTGACTCTGCACTCCTCAGGTGATGGTTTGTAGGAGGGTGGACAGGCAGGTGGGCTCCTGGAGGAGGGCTGCGGCAAACTGGCTGGGTTGGTGGCTAGGAGGGAAAAACAGAGACACAGGATTAGATCAGGTTTGAACACAAATCTAGGAAGCTGGTCGGTCATATACCACGCTGGTAGCGAGAAAGAACTGACGCCCTCCTCCTGGTCCCAGCTCCTTAAGTAGGCTCCAAAATTAACCGAGATGAGCTGCACCTGCCCATCACACCCTGCAGAGAAGAGAGAGACACAGACACCAGACCTGCAGCATGACAGTATTCCTCTGTGGGGATTCCATATAACATAATATCTTACCAATAGGTACAGTTATGTGTGTCCCACTGCCTCCTATATAATCAAACACACTGATGAGCAGTAAACCATACAGTAACATACATCCCACTCTCCAGGTGTGAGAAAGTGTTTGTAACATTTTTAATTAATGTAACAGTTATTGTCCTTTTATTAAAGGAAACTGTGTACTCCTGGATGTTTTTTACTCCTTTCCACTGCAGAGTTATACTGGTCTCAGTCTGTCCAGCTGACTTTAACCCTGCTGGGTTCTCAGTTTTTTTGTGAGACTTTTTCCCTACTTTAAAAACTTTTACTTCAGCTTGATCTTTATGATCTAAACTGATTATTATAAACAAACAACAGTCCTCTTACCAGTGACGGCAGTGATGATTTTTCCTTTGCTTCTGGTATAACCAAACACAGTGAAGAGAGTGAAGCTGTATCTAGTGCCACTGGTCAGATCTGGGACTGTGTATTTTCCATTTCCTTCAGAGTGAGTTATATTAACCTCCTTTCCATTGTTGGTAAGGGTATAATCATTGATGTCCCCCACTTTGGCCCACTGCAGAGTTATGCTGGTTTCAGTTTGTGTGAAGTTTTCAAAATGTTCAGTATCAGAAGGAACTACACAAGAACAAGAAGAAATATTAGCACATGTTTTACTCCTGAAAACAGGCTAGTTGCATGATTAATGAAATAAGGTTTGCAATAAAATTGGTCTAATTTTACTTTTTGGCTCAAAAAAACCCATAAGAAACAAAAGAAAATTTTAGAAAAAATTACATTGGTAACAAACTGAATAGCATTATCGTCACATTAATTCTATTAATCAAACCAATCATTCTTCTTGAGCAGTTAGAACAGCAGTAAAACATGTTAAAGAGAACAAAACAAAAATGCAACAAGATAATACAGTTTCTACACAAACAGAATGGACAGCACAGTATATTGACCTTTAATTGTAATGTTTTGCAGGGTCCTTCATTTTCTCTGTTTTCATAACTTAACTGTTGTTTATGTTCACTAAAGTACTGCAATAATAATTAATTCCTTCTTGTCTTGTTTCTTTGTTTATTTTATATTATATTCTTTTACATATTAATCATTTTCACTAGTCTTTTCCCTACTTTGAAAGTTATTTGTGTCATACTTCAGCTGTATCTATATTGTCTATAATTATTACAATATTAAAAGAATTAACAGAAAGAGCACCATATATAGATGCTATTGTAAAATTATTTTTGCAAGGAGGGTGTCCTTAACTTATATAACTTTTTGTATGTTTACAAGTAGAAATTACTTATAGGATGATCTGAAGAAAGAATTTTGCAAAGAGATTTGAGAAAATATTGCAATAAATATTTTTCACAACACATTTTTGGGTTGTCTTTTTTATATTTAAAAAAAATCGTACCTAAGCAGTATTATGAATAAACAGACAACAATCATCTTACCAGTGACTGCAGTGATGCTTTTTCCTTTGCTTCTGGCATAATCAAACACAGTGAAGAGAGTGAAGTTGTATCTAGTGCCACTGGTCAGATCTGGGATTGTGTATTTTCCATTTCCTTCAGAGTGAGTTATGTTGACCTCTTTTCCATTGTAGGAAAGGGTATAACTGTCGATGTCTCCCACTTTGGTCCACTGCAGAGTTATGCTGGTTTCAGTTTGTGTGATATGTTCAAACTTTTCAGCATCAGAAGGAGCTACACCAGAATGAGAAGAAATATTTTTAAAAATGTATACTGCCCTGGAAAAAAATATTAGACCACCCTTGTTTCTTTTTTTCGATGCATTTTATTTAAGTAATTTTGCCTTTAGAACTAGAAAATAAAAAAAACAATGATGATCTAATAATTTTTTCCACTATACTGCATATTTTACCATGTCAGAAGGCTACATGCATAATTATCTCATACAAGTTTACAATAAATCTTTATTTAATTATTATAAATTTTTCATATAAAGTGGAAAAATCAAAACAAAATTAAAAGCAAACACGTTAACAATGGTTGAGTAACTGAGGTAGAGATTTAATGTAGTGAAACTAATCACACTTGCTAGATTTGGGTGAAGCATCTAATAGGAGGAGTTAAAAGAAAGAACCCCAAATATTTATTGATGCCATTGTAAAGTGGTTTGCATTTAGGGCGTCCTTAAGCGATATAAATTATTTTTGTTATGTTTAGAAGTAGCAACGAGGTATAAAATTATCTGAAGACAGAATTTTGCAAAGAGATTTGAGACAACAGTACAATAGATATATTTCACAGCACATATTTGAGTTGTCATTTTTTGAGGTTTATTATAACTTATTTTTGAACAATCAAAAAAAAAAAATTTAATTAGAATATGAATGAATCTGGCAGACTTTGTATAGACTGTGGCTATGGAGCACAATTATGAATAAACAGACAACAATCATCTTACCAGTGACTGCAGTGATGCTTTTTCCTCTGCTTCTGGCATAATAAAACACAGTAAAGAGAGTGAAGCTGTATCTAGTGCCACTAGTCAGATCTGGGACTGTGCGTTTTCCATTTCCTTCAGAGTGAGTTATGCTGACCTCCTTTCCATTGTAGGAAAGGGTATAATTGTTGTTGTCTCCCACTTTGGTCCATTGCAGAGTTATGCTGGTTTCAGTTTGGTTGATATGTTCAAACATTTCAGTATCAGAAGGAGCTACACAAGAATGAGAAGAAATATTAACACAATCACATATTTTATTTTCCTTCCTTCCTTCCTTCCTTCCTTCCTTCCTTCCTTCCTTCCTTCCTTCCTTCCTTCCTTCCTTCCTTCCTTCCTTCCTTCCCCACCTCCTTACTTACTTATTTAACAATTAAAAGAAAAGGAAAATGTTTTCAACTGAAAGAATAAGTGATATAATTAAACAGTCCTTCAATGTCAGCTAACATTACAGACAACAGATATATAATATTTTCATAGAAATAATTTTAAAAATAAAGGATTAAATGTGTGCCTCTGGTTCTGATATTTCTTATCAAATTAAAAGAGCCTTTCATTGCACTTAACATTTAATTTATTGCATTTCATCATTTAAAAAAAATCTCCTACTACTATAAATATAGCTTTCTCAATTTAAATGATTTGAATTATTTTACAAGCCCACAGTGTTAACGTGTGAAAATATAAACTGAAAATGTAATCAAAATAATAAATCTTCCGCACATCCTAAGATCCTTCTTATCTGTCTTATTTTGATACATATGACTATGAGCACTAAAAGATCACCTACCTGTCACAGCAGTGAAATTATATCCAGAGCTGCTGATTCCATGTAACACAGTATAAAGAATAAAACTGTATCTTGTCCCAGCAGTCAGACCAGAGACCACATAGTGTATTATATCATCAACAGTGCCAGTTACATCTATAGCATCACCATCATTCATCTTCAGTCTGTATGTCGGGATGTTATCCACTTTGTCCCACTCGAAAGTTATAGAGTACTCATTCTGTCTCACCACATTTACTTGTCTTACATTCGCAGGGGGGGCTGTTAAAAAAGCAGAAAATGTCATATAACATAAAGCATTTTAGTTACTGAGCTATTATTATTTCTTTTAAAAAAGGAAAGATAAATCTGCAGTTCATACTAACCGGATGCTGCTTCCATCAATGTCAGTTCTGTCTTATTTGTTGTTTCTATTTCTAACATGTTATTACAGTCTGCTACAATCTGAAACAGGATTAAAACTTTATCATTACACAATATATTATATTTTATGCTTTAAAAATAACATCATGGTGCAATCTATTACTTAATATTGATGTAATTTCTTCTCTACCTTAACATTTTTCCGTAGCACATAGGATCATTTGTTTGCTACAATCTAAATCACGCCTACATCGTTTAACTTCGAAGCCCTTAAACATTTTGAGATTGATATGCAGGAAACACAGAAATCATGAAGTCAAATTCAAACTATATATTGCAGATTTTTTAGTAAAAAGTCTCAGTAAACAACAGATACAGGCAACATTCTCAATAATCCTATAATACTTTAGAAAACATGAGTAAGATCGCTGTAATAAAAGAAAATTAAAAGAAAACAAACCTTTTTATGTTATTTATGTCATTTATGCATTTATTTTTTCTTTTAAGCAAGCAGTAATAATTATATCAACCCATTTGACATTGACTAATTTCTCACAATGTGAGAAAGTCCTTATTTCTGAGGTATAAAATATTTTTTCTTGGTGCTACTTTCTGTCTGTACTGACTTTTAAGCAGCTCCTCTTTGGACTTCAGTACAGCGATGACTATTATGAGCTCGGCCTTAAATGTGGTTAAGCATGTTTTTATAGTTTACGTTGAAATATAAAAAGCACTTACCCAAAGAAGGCTGAAGGAAACACACAGCAACAGGGATCCCAATGTGAATTTGAAGGATAAAAGCTTCATCTTTGTTATTGATTCCTAACCTACATACACAATGGCGTATCAACACAACAACAGGCCCGTAAAACCTGGGTGTGCCCCAAATGAAGTACAACAGCTGATGAAGGTTCAGGATACGGCGACAGTTTAATAAATCGGCCAAGAAGAAACAATGAAACAATTCTCAGTAGATAAACCAAGACTGACTTCTAACAAGGTAATGTACCTTCTGTTGTACAAAATATGTCAAAGAAAGAGTTGTACTTACTGATACACTGAGGAAGAATTGTGGAGGCCAGGTTATACTCAAGAGAAATCTCAAATGTTGAACCACACAGAGACACTTTTCTGCTCTCAGATAAACCTAAACTGTCTGCTTCTAGTCTGGCCCATTTGTTGACAAAAGTAACACTTCCTTATCAACGCTTATTTACTAGTGTTTATAACATTATATGGTCACAGTTCAGCTTGTGACTGGCTGGGCGCTTATGTCTATTAAGGAAATATTGAGGAAATCACTAAATTAAGGAAAACATGTTTTTCCTGGATTTTTATAAACATGGATTTTTTTTCTATACATCTTGTAACATAGATATTTTTCTTTTTAATTTTGTCACTTAAAATCACAGTTTGAACTGATTTTACCAAAGATTTTTTTCTGCTGTTTTATGCCTGGTCACAGTTTTATGACTTCCTTGTGATAAGAAGCTATAAGGAACTACAAACCTTAAAATATGTCAAGTTGAACTGTGCTATCAGATGGACTTCATAAGTGTAGTAAAACATGTTCCAGTTATCAATGTAACAACAGAGGTTTACGTTTAAAGACTCATTTCCTCAAGCAGTTTAAGTAATCACACAGTCTGTGAGAATAAGATGAACAAAACCAGAGAGGTTAATGCATAGACATGTTATTATAAAGCATGAAATACGATTTGTGAGAAAGGGTGCCCAGCACTGCCAATGAACAGACAGTGAGGGACCTTAACCCAAATGCCAAGCATCTCTGGGAACTCCTTCAAGGACTATCTTCAGGTTCAGGTGACTACCTCTTGAAGCTTATCAAGAGAATCCCAAGAGCGTGTGAAGCAGTAATCAAAGCAAAAGGTGGCAATTTTGAAGAACCAAGAATATAAGACATATTTTCAGTTGTTTCACAATTTTTTGTTAAGTATATATTTCCAAGTGTGTTAATTCATAGTTTTGATGCCTTCAGGGTGATTATACAAAATAAAGAAAACTCTTTGAATGAGAAGGTGTGTCCAAACGATTCTATTACATTATATGATACAAATCAGAATCAAATGTATTGGGCATAATCTTGTTTGAGTGCAAAAAAAAGTAATTTGACTATGTTTTTCCCCATCGTTTATGCTGTAATCTAAAGTCCAATCAACAATGTAAAATAAATCACAAGATGTTTGTATGGATATAAAGAAAAAGAGCAGCTTGTACAAATGTACGCCTTCTCTCTCATCTTATCTAAGAGGGATTGGTGATAAAGTACCCTTTTTTAGCTGGGATGTTAAAGGCTATCGTTTAAAGAAGGTATGCTTAATGTAAAAAAAAAAAAAAAACCTTATCGGATCGCTAATTCAAACTATTGTAAATACCACTGAGAGCTTTTATATGTTCAGATTAGAGTTCTTCATTAATCATTTACAAAGAAATCATTCAGAAAGCCGTCCAAATATTTAATTAGAAATTCAACAAATATTGTATCATATTCAAATGATGGGGTTAACAGAAGTGTTTCTTTGGGCTCCTGCACATATAGAGGTAAAAGGTAATGAAATGGCTGATAAGAGAGCTAAAGAGTCGATAAACAAAAGTTAGAGTGATATAAGAATTAACATGAGTAAATCAGAGGTTAAAAGCATTATTAAAAGAAAAATTCAAGAAAAATGGTAGAAACAGTGGGAAGAAGATATAAAGGGATGCTTTACAGAAGACAAAAAAATGTTGGGGAAGTTTGATGGAAAATTGGGAGGAACAGAATACAGTAAAGGATAATAACAAGACTACGGTTGGGACATACAGGTCTTAATTCAACATTACAGTTAATGAGAAAACATGAAACAGGAAGTTGCAATGTATATGGGGAATCCACATTGATAGAACATGTTATGTAATAACTGTAGGAAATATCAAAGACAAAGAACACAGTTGATAGGGAGTCTTGAAAAGATTAAAGAGCAGTATTGTCTTATACATATTTTATGGAAATGCACATATCAAGCACTTATATATTGGTAACAGGCTTAGCGAAAATAATACTTTTTTTTTTTTTTTTGAGCATGTTTGTCCTGATCCACACTCCTTACTGGTTGGTGGCGGTAATGCACCATATAGCTGTTTGCCAACCGTCAATAAATTCTAGAAGAAGAACTATTGGAATGTTCATGGACAAGTACGAACGCTAGAGGGCGGCAACGGTATGTAATCAGCCGTAACCTTTAAAAGAAGAAGCTAGCTTGCTTTGTATTGTGAGGTAAACAAGACGCCAGAAAGTAAGTATTTTTTCAGCTCTATAGAGAATAAAAGTATCGTCTTTACTTACGATAGTTTTGCCAGTTGTTAAACGAAAATTCGTCTGTAATTCATTTAGTGAACTATCTGCTTAAAATATTCACAAACTGAATTAGCCTTTTGTTTGTGCTAACGTTGATAGCTTGAGCTACTGTCTAGAGTTGCTTCAAATGTTGATTTAGTATAATGTTAATTTTATGTTATTTTAAACTCCCACTTGTAAGTTTGAAAGTAGAGTGCGTTAGCCTAGTCTAGCTCAAAAGGACAGTTAGCAGTGTATGCTAACGTTACGTCATTGCTAAAATCGTTATCAATCAAGCACACATGATTCCTGTTGGGTGGGAGCATCACAGAGAGCCTTTAAATACTGATGCTGTCAAAGCCTGGTCAACTGGCTTCAGGTAGAAACGGACCAGACGTTTAGGTAAACCTATTCATTTTCACATAGAGACTAAGAAATTTTTACAGAAAAATATTACTTAAATCATTCTGTTTTGTTTGCTATTATTATAGTGTTTAACCAGTTGTTTTGGGTTTTACATAACACAAGGTCGCTTTTTCTTTTGCTTGTCTTTTAGAAATGCAGACTGCCGTGAAACAAAACTATCATGCGGAGACTGAAGGAGACATCAACAAGCTCATCAATCTGAAACTCACTGCTTCTTACACCTACCTTGCCCTAGTAAGTCTATTTTACTCTTAACTGTTAAAACAACTTATTAATTTAACCCTTTTGCTGACTCATTGGATTTAATTCTGTTTTCTGTGCTGTAGTCACAAATATTTCTTTCTTTGTATTTCAGGGCATGTATTTTGACAGGGATGATGTTGCCTTGCCACACTTCTCCAAGTTTTTCCTGGAGCGCTCTGTGAAGGAGAAAGAACAGGCTGAGAAGCTGCTGGAATACCAGAACACCAGAGGGGGTCGGATTCTGCTTCAGACCATCGCTGTAAGTATTGAATAGTTTTATTGATTCCATAAAACCTGAGTTGTATCAAGTTCCACCATCAGGCGGTTTTCCCACCCATCTGCAATGCGGTGAAGTTATTGGCTTCAGCACAGGCGTTTAACCTTGGGCCGGTTTGAAGTACAGCTGAAATGTTATGCATACTGAAATATCATAAGCTATTTTTTTTTTTATGAACAGTTAATGGTAAATAAAGGGGGAGGGGGCATTGAATAACAATAGCTTACTTCAGATTGGCAGTTAGTAGATTAAACATTTTTAAAAGGTAAAATGACTGGTGTTTTGGGTAGATGTGGTCATTTAATTTAAGCTGCAGTCTGTAACATTGAGAAGAGAGCAGACTTCGACTGAAAATTTGAAGAAAAACAGGTTTCACGCCACTCCCCCACCCTCTCTGCTTCACTCATGCCCCACCTCCAAGCTTCACCCCTCTCACAGCATCTGCGCGGCTACCGCATGCGACCAGAAGGGGGGGGGCGGGATTGAGCGTGTGTGAGCTGTGATTGACACTCCATCAGACGCTCCTCTGGCTGTGATTGGTTGTTTTGACTCGTCCCGAATTATTCTTTCCAGGTTGAAATACAGGCAGTAGGCGGTACCAATTGAAGCAGTTTTTTTCACAGGTTACATATCACATGTACTGCTGTCTGGGCATAGGGACAGTTTTAGCCAATATGACAAAAAAGTGATTTTTAAAAACTTACAGACTTCAGCTTTAAACAAGGTATAAAGTTTAAATTTAACCTGCACTCAATTTGGAAAAGGCTAATTTAAATATATACTTTTTTTTTTTTGCAACAAGGATTCTAGTCTGGAACATAACTTGAAAGCAAAAGTTATAAAATGGCCATAAAATGCTTTGTAAGAGCAAGTTTTGGGAGGTCAAATGTGATTAAAGAGCTGAAGTTGATATACTGGGCTGTAGATGCGTTTTTGTTTTAATGTCCTATCTGTTTTCTAGAAACCAACTAGAGAGGACTGGACTGGAGGTCTGGATGCTTTGACCTTTTCCCTGAAATACCAGAAGTCCCTGAACACTTGTATCCTTGATGTGCATGGCAGAGCTGGTAGCCACAATGACCCACATGTGAGTTTAGCTCTGATTTTTAACAAAAACGTTTTTTATTTTTGTTTTTTGCATCACATTTTAATTTCTTTTCCAGCTGTGTGACTTCCTGGAGCAGGAATTTCTCATCGACAGCCATGATACCATCAAAAAGTTGGGCGACTACATCGGCAGTCTGACCCGCCTTACTTCATCTGAACCTCATGGATCCATGGGAGAATACCTGTTTGATAGACACACTCTAAAAGATTAAACTACTCCATCCATGGTTTCACGTTTCCGAAAATGAACAAACAGGTCAAAGCTGCATTTATTTCTGTAAAAGAAAACTTGACAATATTTGCACATTTAACCCTAAACTCCTTTCTTTTGTAGCAAAACTTCAAGAATAGTTCAAATGTTAACTGGAATAAACACAGCCTTTCTAAAATAACTTTTAAAGATGTTCTCATGATTTTGTAGCAGAGTGCCCTGATGATATGCTGTTACTTTGATATGATTCACATTTGGTCCGTACCATGTCTCATACATTCCTAGGTTCTGTGTGTCTCTTTTTGCTTAAATGGAAACTATTTTGATTAAAACAAAAAGGTGTTTTAATATCTGGAAATGTATTGGAACAATAAATAAAGTCCAATTATGTATAATAAACATTTTGGTGCTGTTTTTTTCCCTTCGGATTTTTCATGCAGTCTGAGGACTGGTTCAGTCATGTCTGTTCTGGTCAGATTTTGCTTACTCATGGTGTCTGTGGAGTAGGACATAAATTATACGATGGTTTGTGGCTGAAATTCTGACTAAGTCATAATGATATGGTTGCTGAAGCGGCTTTGAATAAGTACAGTTGGTTTTAAAAATGACACTTTGTGATGTGAAAACAATGATCAGCTGAAAAAAGGTTGAGCTGTAAGGTAAAATTTTACATGTATAGATGAGCTGGAAAATAAACACTTAATTGAAGCAACTCTGGATTAAGTTTCAGCTTTTTAGTTGAAACTGCCAATCTGATCTGTTCAGCTCTCCACCTATAAGGTTTTCTTCACATTTTTTTTCCCTTTAAGTTTGTAGATGTGTTTGAAAGTTTTATCCTCTTGTTACACAAAGCATATGACCTTTTTCTACAACTTAAGCAATTTAACAGGTCAGGAAGCTTGTTAAAAGGAAATGCAAGAGTGTTTATATAGGATCTGGTTGTGAAAAGGAAAATCATGCTGATTTTTCTGAATACCTTAATGTTTTGATCAAACCAAAATGTAGGGTTTTTTTTTGGCCTTTAATCAGAGCAAAGAAAAACTACAACAGTAGCAAGTGAACAGATTGAAAAATCAATCAAGATGGATGAAGATGCAGTATGAAATGCCAGTGTTTAACTGAAATGAATCTAGTTTGGTGTGTAAAGGTGAAGTTTGCATGTCAGCACTTCTTGGGATTACACTTTGGTAAAATGAACAGAAGAAAAGCAACAACTGAAAGTTGTTTATAGATTAACAGCTATACTGAGGGGATTAGAGAAGGGCTGGATGCACAATCTCTTCAGTCTGATGAGTAAACAAACAATGCCATTAATACTGCAGTAACTTCCCTACCTTAAGAATTTTCATTGGTTTTATTCTTTGGTTTATATCAGAGCACCAGTAGTAAAAACGAAATACCTGTTTTTATTCAGTATGCAACAGATGCGTCGTCAGCCTTCTTATATCAGGAGGAGGGGGGGTGGGGGATTAAATGATAACACTGCTCTAGTGATTTGTCGGTACTTTGATGGAATGGGTTTCAGGAAGCTTGCCAGCCAGGGACAGCAATAGGAGAGGTCTGATTGGAGTATGAGGGCTCCGACGAGCCAAAGTGGATGTGAAAAGGAAAACATCTAAAACTAAAAGTCTTTCCAAATCTGTTCTCCACATAGAGATAAATCAGGGAAGCCATCAGCAGGTAAGAGAAAAATTAAATCAATATTTTGGTCTTAATAAAAGGGGATCAGTGAGGAAAAATTACATTTGTTTCATAACATTGTGCACAAATCAAATACAAGAGTACGTTATCCTGGTTGTGCTTTATTTCAAAAATAATAAACGGATGTCTGCAACAAAAAATATATGTTGACTTTTGAATTAATAACTATTTGTTTTTTTTTTTACTTTTACTTTTTTTGCGGATTATGTTTTTTTAATGTTGCGGACATAAACCAAAATTAAATTACATTACATTATATCCCATCACTTCTTTCATCCATCCATCTATTGTTGCATCTCAAATGCTGCTGTAGGCTTTAAATAGATGACGCAGTTTTTGGCTGTATAAGAAAAAAGTCATTCCACATCTTTTTCAATTTTTGTATTCATTTAATTTTTTCATTGGTTTCCTAGATCCCCATGTATAATGTAGAAGACTAACTGTAAATTGCAAATGCAATAAGTCTTACCTATCACACAACTATTTAAATCTCTAAATATTTTTTCTATTTTTTTATTTCCTTTTTTATAAATAACTTGCTTCAGTGGATTATAATAATTTTGCTTAATAATTATCAGTAATGAAAATATGTCTAATCACTTTATAACACGGAAAAATAGTCTGTGCCATTACATAATACCTCAACTTTATGTACATGCCTGTAAAAAGCCATCAAAAACAAGCTTTAAGATGACAGAGGAAATAAAAGGGATGAAAACAGGTAATATAAGATAAAAAAAAAATCAAAGATAACATCTTCTGTTTCAAGAGAATTTTTCGTTTCCAGAGAATTGTGGATTATTATTGCACAGCCAGATTTTAATCCAGCACAGCAGAGAGCATGATCAAGGGAAAAATGGGGTTGGGATGAACATGGGAATGAAAGCCTGGGTTATGGGATGAAGGAGATGACAGACAGTATGCGAGTAACAGAGGGATTAAGGTCAGCCATGTTGATCATCTGGCTTAAGAGATGTCCTATGCTCCTGGTCCTTACAGCAACACATGATCAGAGGGATTACATAGCATACATGCAAAAATGTGTCGCAGCTCACTGAAGAGCCAACTACAGAGGGACAGCTAACAGACTGAACCAAGAATACTGACTGCACTGACTTTACTGTTTTCACAGCTGAGATGAGGCTGGTCAGTGGCGGGCTCCGGGCCCGAAGGGCCGCTGAGCCGTCCGAACCAGAATCTGAGGAAACAACGGAGCCGTCCCATCATGAGCACGTTCATCCAGAACACCATCATGAACACATGCATCCAGAACATCATCCAGGACATGACTACAACCACATGAAGGAGAAGTTCATGAATGAGCTCCATCACCTACCAAGTAGGAAACCTACACAAACAAGATCTATTCCTCTGCTGGAATAAACTGATTAATAGTCTCACTTCTGACTAATTCTTTAAAATAAAAACTTTCTGTTTAATAGAACTGCAAAATTATATGTTAATATTGTTTGAAGGTTTTCTAATTTTTTTATGTTGCCACTATAAACATCAGTGCAGTAGAACTTAGCGGATTGGAGGGAACTGAAACTGAACCTTCAGGCTTCACATCCAAAACCCTTTCTCTAGAAAAAATATAAATAAAAATAGAAAAGCAGCCCTGCTGCAGCTTATCATGCTGTGGGATTTTATTTTCACCAGAACAAGGAAATACTATTAAGGATCAATTTGAGCAGGAAACAGAAAAACATTTCAGGCTGTTACATCTGATTGATCAAAGCATGATATGTGTTTAGAACCACCCATACAAAGTAGAGACAGATAACCAAATAAGAGTAGCATTGTAGGATCTAATATTCTGAGATGTTCTCCATCCTCTCTGACAGTCTTTTGTCACAATGCATAGCCGCACTGCAAAAACGATCCAGAAATAAGTGAATATTTCTTAGATTAAGTGTATTCAACCATAATTTCAGTAGGTAAATAAGGTGATTTGTCAATGGAATTAATATTTTACTCTTAAAATAAGGTAAATAGGTAAGATTCAGCTGAAATAAGACAATAAAATAATTTTTTCATATTTTAAATGTAAATTGTCTTGTTCTATTGGTGACGTGTCTCACTTAACTCCTCAATTTAAAGAAAAAAATACCCTTATTTTAAGAAGAAATTATTTATTTAAATATGCACTTGAAGTGTTTTAGAGATGTATCTTAGAACATCTAAAAATTGGTCATGCTACTAGAAAATGTCTCAGAAGCTGACTACGAAGCATGATGCACATGTTATAGCTTTATATGTAACTGAATTTTGAAATCTCATCTAATTATTCTATATGGTTATTTATTCTTTTGCATTGGCCAGTCTAACAAAATTCAGAACAAACACAAAAAAAATTGTAAAAATTTAAAAAGTTTAAGGGGCATGAAATCTTTGCATTAAACACGGCTTTTTTTAATGAATTAGTGTTTTGAAGAATATTCTGCTGAAAGAACAGTAAATCCAAAATAAAATCCAGTGGGACTTTGTTTCCAAGTTTGAAGATGTTTCACTTCCCATCTAGGAAGCTTTTTCAATTCAAAATATCAGAAATAGCGTTGAGTTCAAAGGTATTTAGAGTGGACCAAAAACAAAGTCTTGTTTTGGCTTAGAAAAACAGTAAAGCCTTAGATTGCAGTGGTAAAGAGCTGAGTTATACTTATTAGGCTCATACAGAGGCACTCCCAGCTGGAGGAGTGTTATTATCTGATTGTGGAGAAGGGTGTTAACAAACTAAACACACGCTCAACGACCCTCTACAGATAACTGCATGCTTTTACAATCCTTAAGAATGACACAAAAGCTTTTAGCTTAATTTCTTGCCTCCAAAAACATATATTTTGATATCACAAAGCAACATGTCTTAAAAAAGCAACTCAAATTCCTTAAACTGGTTTTATTAGACCTGCAGTCTGCTTGCATGTTGTAAATATGGGATGAATTCATTCCCCCCTGTTTTGCAGTTCCTATGTGGGCAGTGGGAGCCATTGTTGTGCTGGTCCTGGCTTTAGTGGCGTGCTTCATTTTCTGTGTTTTCAAAAAATGCTTTGCAAAGAAGAAAAAGCCGAAGAAAGTGAGGGAGAGGAAGGCTGGGGGTCGCCGCAGAAAGGAGAAGGATGGTGATGGAGAGTCAGGAGAAAAGGTTGGTTTGTTGATGTTACGCTGTTGTGATTTTACTTGGTAAACAGTCAGTGATCAATCTTGTCTCATGTTTCATGTTGCAGGAAGGAGATGGGAAAAAGGATGGAGAAGAGGAAGAGAAAGAACAGGAGAAGTTGGGCAAGTTGGAGTTCTCCTTGGATTACAATTTCACAGATTGTCAGGTAGGTCCTGCATGTAAACAGATGGTTCCATTAAAAATACTTTATATTTGCGATGAGAACACACAGATTCATTAAGAGATACCAATTTTCCACTGTAACTTCATATTAAACATGTTTTTTTCTTTCTTCTAAAGCTCATAGTGGGCATCCTTCAGGCTCAGGACCTTGCTGCAATGGACATGGGGGGGACTTCAGACCCCTATGTCAAAGTTTTTCTGCTTCCTGACAAAAAGAAGAAATATGAGACCAAAGTTCAGCGTAAAAACCTGAGCCCTGTTTTCAACGAGACTTTTATTTTCAAGGTACCTCAACGCAGACCACATTTTATCGATAAAGTTCCTTCTGCTGTTATATTATATTCATAACTTATTGCAGGACTGATGTGGGTGAAGATTTTCCTATCCTAGCAATGATAATGTAGCTTAACTTCTTCGTCATTTGTTGAGTGAAAACAATCATCTGCTTTCCTCTATTTCAAATCAAGTTTTAACATTGTTCCTTTTTAGATCCCGTACGCGGAGTTGGGCGGAAAAATTTTGATTCTGCAGGTTTTCGACTTTGATCGTTTCTCCAAACACGACATGATCGGTGAAATAAAGATTCCCATGAGCAGCGTTGATCTGGGCCAGCCCATGCAACAATGGAGGGACTTAGAAAGCGGGGAGAAGGAAGAGGTACAGTGGAGTGTTTGTGAGAACAGTATTATCAACTATTCAGATAAATGTTTGCTGTTATGTTTGATTTAGATGAGGCTTAAAACAGGTTTAACTTTCATGAGACTTTGGCCGCAGGCTTTTTATTTTATACCAAAATTATCAGATTTTATATGTATGTATGTGTATATATATATATATATATATATATATATATATATATATATATATATATATATATATATATATATATATATATATATATATATGGCTTTTATGCTGTAAGAATAATCTGATTGAGGGTTTAATACTTTATCTTTTGAAAACTTGATATAGCCTCCATACCAAGAGGCCCATGCCTGTTTAAATCCAGAAAAATATGTGGGCTGTTCCTTTAAACACAATTTCCACAAATTTTGACAATTTTTTCTGTCTTCAGGAAAAATTGGGAGACATATGCATTTCTTTGCGCTATGTACCCACTGCTGGAAAACTGACCGTAAACATCATGGAGGCAAAAAATCTCAAGAAAATGGATGTTGGTGGTTTATCAGGTAACCAAACGTCTCATTTTCTTCCATTTTGACTGCAGTCAATATTCTCTCACTTTGTAGCCTGGAGGGGAACTGCAAACCCCAAAATGATATACTATATAATGCTCCCTCTTTTTTTAGATCCTTATGTGAAGATCGTCCTGCAACAAAATGGGAAGCGGATAAAGAAAAAGAAAACAACAGTAAAGAAAAACACCCTCAATCCCTACTTTAATGAAAGCTTCAGCTTTGAAGTCCCCTTTGAACAAATACAGGTGGGCTTTGCCTTATTGCTTTCTTTACAGTGTTTCTCATCTTAAAGAGGAAAGATAGGATTTCATTATTTTATCTTTATTTTTCCAGAAAGTGCAGGTTGTCATCACAGTGTACGACTATGACAAACTGGGAAGCAATGACCCCATAGGGAAGACCTTTATGGGCTATGGAGCTACAGGTGTCGGCTTGCGCCACTGGTCGGACATGCTTGCCAATCCTCGACGTCCCGTAGCCCAGTGGCACACCCTCATGCCTGAAGAAGAGGTGGACGCAGCACTTAAAGCTAAACCTCGTTAAAAGCAGGACCTGATCCAGCACTGAGTCCATCTGGGAGGCTTGGGGGGTTTTAAAGTAGTTTTTGTTCAGTTTTTCATGTTTTCTTTCACGGCCCTATGAATAAAGGCACCGTCATTTCTCAGATAACCCGTCTCCTCAGGGTAGAACTTGATTGGACGTGAGCTTTTCCTCTTAGGGACTTTTGGACCCAAGTCATTGCTGAACCCCTTTTTTGTTTGTTTGTAACTTGTCTTTACTTTGTATTTCTATGTGCCTGTGTACAATACAGATCATGTTGGTTTGGCTTTCTATGTTTCCTTTAAATTTTAAAATACAGTATTAATCTGAGTTTCAATATTTGGAAAACCTACTTAGAAATAATATTCAGAATCTGTGAAACTCTTTATATATATTAAAATATTTGCTAATTCTTGTGCTTTTCTGTAATAAATTCCTTCTCTATCAAAATAAAGAAGTTTTGACAGTTTTACAAAATCACTTCTTCCCTTTTAGATAGATCAGCACCAGTCCAAGGTATAAGCAAACTTAGAAAATGCTGATGAAAAACATTATTACCATCGAGCAAGTGGAGAGATGTGCAATTTGTAAAAGGAAAGCAACTAAGAAAATCCTTTACACTGTAACTTGAGGGTTTGGTAAGACGGAGTCAATGGTTAGAGCTGTTTAATCACATATGCTTGTGTCTGAACTTTTCATGTACAATTTAAGTGTTTGCAAATAAAAGTACACACAACAGTCTTTTTTTGTTTTTTCCTTAAAAGTCTAGTTTATGAAGGACCAACTCTGCCATATTTAAAAATAAATACAGAAATAAATAAATGCTCAATAAATGTATAAGCATACAATTAATTGCCAACAAAAATACAATAAACAAATAAATGTAAGTAGAAATTAAATTATAAAGTGAGACATAAATGTATATAACTCTTAATTAGCTTCTTTATTTATTTGCCTTTGTAATATTTACCTTATTTATTTTTCTGTCCTTTATAATCTTCAACTTTATTATTTAATTAGTTATATTTTTAAGTATTGATTTATGTGCATGTTATAATATTTTTGTCTGTTTTATTCTTCCTTTGTATTTTTTTACCTTAGTTATTTCTTCGCCGCTGTTTATTTCTCTCTGCCCTTTTTACATTTCTGCCTGTCATATTAACATTTCTCTATGCATTTCTGTCTCATTATGCAAATGAGGAGGGGGTGTGTCCTAGAGAGTCAACTTCTGCTCATTGGTTGGCTTGGCGGTCCATCTTCTTAACTCACAGAGCTCAGAGTACTAAGTTAAAGGTTCTCTTTTCTGTTGCTGTTGTTCAATAAAAGTACGTTTTAAGATCATTTGAGGCGAGAACCTTATACTTTTAAGCATCACCATATGGCCCATTCACAGATTTAATGCGTAATTTAAAAGAAAATGTAACGAACTTGAGAGGACCGCGGCAACCAGCAAAGCTCCGAAGCTGACGGCAGCCAGGTCTAACCACAGCCCATCTGCAGCGGCCCTCTCTCGGCATAGCCGTGTGTGAAGCGTGTTGGTTAGCATTTTACTACATCGGTCGAATCTACAGGAGGAGAGTCTGATGACGAGTCTGAAGTCATTAGAACTTGAGTGGACTTTGCCAAACTTTGCCAAATACAACAAAAAATCGCCATCATAGCCTGGCTATAGACCTGGCTGCCGTCAGCTTCGGAGCTCCGCTGGTTGCCACGGTATGTTTAACCAGCGGAGCTCCGAAGCTGACGGCAGCCAGGTCTATAGCCAGGCTATGATGGCGATTTTTTGTTGTATTTGGCAAAGTTTGGCAAAGTCCACTCAAGTTCTAATGACTTCAGACTCGACATCAGACTCTCCTCCTGTAGATTCGACCGATGTAGTAAAATGCTAACCAACACGCTTCACACACGGCTATGCCGAGAGAGGGCCGCTGCAGATGGGCTGTGGTTAGACCTGGCTGCCGTCAGCTTCGGAGCTTTGCTGGTTGCCGCGGTCCTCTCAAGTTCGTTACATTTTCTTTTAAATTACGCATTAAATCTGTTAATGGGCCATATGGTGATGCTTAAAAGTATAAGGTTCTCGCCTCAAATGATCTTAAAACGTACTTTTATTGAACAACAGCAACAGAAAAGAGAACATTTAACTTAGTACTCTGAGCTCTGTGAGTTAAGAAGATGGTCCGCCAAGCCAACCAATGAGCAGAAGTTGACTCTCTAGGACACACCCCCTCCTCATTTGCATAATGAGACAGAAATGCATAGAGAAATGTTAATATGACAGGCAGAAATGTAAAAAGGGCAGAGAGAAATAAACAGCGGCGAAGAAATAACTAAGGTAAAAAAATACAAAGGAAGAATAAAACAGACAAAAATATAATAACATGCACATAAATCAATACTTAAAAATATAACTAATTAAAAAATAAAGTTGAAGATTATAAAGGACAGAAAAATAAATAAGGTAAATATTACAAAGGCAAATAAATAAAGAAGCTAATTAAGAGTTATATACATTTATGTCTCACTTTATAATTTAATTTCTACTTACATTTATTTGTTTATTGTATTTTTGTTGGCAATTAATTGTATGCTTATACATTTATTGAGCATTTATTTATTTCTGTTTTTATTTTTAAATATGGCAGAGTTGGTCCTTCATAATGGAGAACGTGGCCTCTAAATGAATCTACTGACGCCCCCTCCCTTCAGTCTTCGGATGGGGCTCTCCTAACTGCGATTCACCATCTCACCTCTAAGTGGCTCCCTACTATGGACAGCGTTGCCTAGCAACTGAACTCAAACTTTTTGCCAGGATTTCAACATTCCCGCTGCTGTTTATCCACCTTGCATGTGGTTAGTGTTTAACCTATCTTTTGCGGACTTTATCGCTCTTTTGAAACCTGTCACTTCTAGCCTAAAACTGAGGTATATGTTTTGTCTGCGTTATTGGTAGCAAAGTAACATAGACTGAAGAGCAACATGTTCGGGCTCACGGTGAAGCCCAAACATAAGGACTGATGTTTCCCTGTTTCTGTTCAGATTACAGGATGAGTGCGGGTCGGGTGTCTGAAGGAGCGGGTTGTATTACCTGGTGGGGCTTCAGTCCAGCCAGAAATTTGCTCAGTTTTGGTAAGAAGCTGCAGATGTTTTCATATTTGGATCATAAACTGCACGTGCGTTTCCGATTGGTGTAAAGCGGCACGCTCTACAAATTATAAAAAAAAAAAAAAAAAAAATCTGAAGGGATTAGCAGCTGATATTTAATGTGTGTTCATTAAAGCCCCTTTTAATTGACATTTAGCAATACTATAATTAACAGAAGTAAAAAAAAAATAAAAAAAAAAACAATCCTGATCCCCAAAATATTATACAAATAAATAATAAATATATAATTATGGCAGAAATTATATCTCTTTAAGATTTCCATTTTTAAGATGTGAATCAAAGCTCTATCCATGCATACCACCTTGCAGGATCATGCTGTTTCAGATCATGAGGGTACACCTTGGATAAGTTAAAGCAGAAAACTGAAACACTTTTCTTTACGATCAAAGCTGATTTTTACCCGTATATCCTGAAAAGGCTACAATTATGAGTACAATAAATATGTGTTCTGTTTTAAGAACAATCTTATTCTGGGCTTTTGGTAAAATTAGTTTTGATTAATTTAATTATGAGCAACAA